AGAGAGAGAGAGAGAGAGAGAGAGAGAGAGAGAGAGAGAGAGAGAGAAAGAAAGAAAACACAACGTCATCCAGATTTGCATAGAAAAGTTTCTTTCTTTTCTGTTTCGGTCGTCACATCATTCTCTCTTCAAAACTTATCAACATTGCTTTTGAATTTCAAATTTTCAAGAGCAAGAACAAAAGCATGAGCCAATTTTTTCTCTCTCTCTCTCTCTCTTCTTCTTTTGTCTTGTCTTCTTTATCCGCTGACTATCTCGTTTGGAAAGTTGATGCAAAAATCCCGAAATGAAGGAGACAACAATTAAGATGCTTGCAGGCACATCAAGCAAATGCTCTTGATTGATGGCTCTCAATATAAAATTAGCAATGGCAAAAATTTCATTTTGCTCATGAAATTAAATTGACAACAACCGCCCGGAATACGAAAGCCACAATGCATAACAACGAATGGGAAGGCGCAACCAAAAAAAAGAAATATGCAAAACTTTGTCTCGGTGGACGGTGGTGGAGTGGTTTTGTTAAATCAAATCGCATTAATATTCATTTTGCAAAGAAATAAATCACAAAATGTAACAAACACCGTCGAGTAGTACAGCACTTGAGCTTTCATCATTTTCGGGGCCGTTCACCGAACAATCTATTCCACGCGGTGCCATGTAAATAAGGTTATTTTTGGCAAATTTATCAAAAACTCACTCGCGAAATGCGATGCCACAGAAAAGAAAAACACGGGCTGCGCGATGCTTTGCACGGCTTTCGTCGCTCAGATATCGTTGTTCGGTTCACCTTGATTCAATTTGAATAAATTGCTTTCCACTTTCTCATTCTCTCTCTCTCTCTCTCTCTCTCTCCACTTTCCACCTCCATTCCATTACCATCGCAGAGCCTTTTTCATCCGGGCAAAGCCCAATTTGCCATGTCACTCAAGACTGATGAAAGCGATACAACAGGAAAAAAGCAGCAACAGAGAAAAAAAAAACTGTAAAAAATGAAAAACAATGAAAAAGTTCTCGTTTTAATTTTTTGACGAACCTTTTCATAAAGCAATTTTCAATTTCCGATTGTGTCGCCTTTGAAGTTTACTTCCTTTTTTTCATAAATCAACCGAGTATCACATTTATTCATTTCGTTCGATACACCTTTCGGTTTTTGAAGCGTCAAAATATGCTAATAAAACTCAAGTTTCATTCGGTTACGGTTGATCATCATCAATCAACAGAAGGAAGATGATGACGAAGAAGAAGAAAAAAGAAAGTTGAATTTGTTTTGAAGCAAATGCCCCAGAAATTTGTTAAAGAAGAAAAATTACAACGAATGATGATGATAATAATAAAACTCATATTCTTCAGCTCAAGCTTTAGCGCTTAAACACGAAGACATACACACATACACACAGAAAACACGCAAATATTCAATCGAAACTTCAAATAAAGAATTTCGCCTCCGGAAAACTTTTCACGAATCGACAAGAGGAAACAGAAGAAAAAGCAAATGTAAACTTCAAGAAAGCGAAATATGAAATATAGGATATGGCGAAGAAAAAGAAAAAAAGAAAAACATTACAAGCGACACACACACACACACACTGACACAAAGGGAAAAAAATCGACGAAAATCCCGTGTCGTTCGGGTTAGGAGCATAGCATCGAACAAATGGGGAAAACTTTATTAATTTTGAAGCTGTTGTATATAGAGCTTCATCGTCCGTTACACATGACGACATTTATGACATCCAAGAGCGAAGAAAAGAACGAACAAGCCAAAGAGAGAGACGAAAAAAAATCAACAAACTTTTCGACACCCGCGCAAACACATAAACACACATACACAGAAATGGCCCTTAAAACTGGGACACAACAAGGGAAAATTATTTGAATTTTTGATTTTTTTAACTTGGCACAATTGTGGATACCTGAGCATAACTCAGCGTGTGCCTTTATATCTCTAGCAATAGTAATCTTAAGGTAGCCGCTGAAATATATTATTTTTGTTATCGCTCTTCTCGGCTCCTTTTCTTCCGTCTCCGTTGTTGTTGTCGTCGTCATCAACCTGAGAGCGGTACATTCTCGAAGCGGCGAGAGTGAACAAATTCATATATTCTTGTATTGTTGTCACTGGCGAAAGCATTTCGATTGAATGCACACGTTTATATTGGAATGGTGCGGAACCCAGCATGCGGGCGAACCAACAGTTGTAATCGCAAATCGGAACAAGTGCAAAGAAAAAGTACAGCAAAAGAAATTTTTAAGTGAACACCAAGAATATTGCGGAAATTTGCTGAAAAAATTCCCGTCACTTCCGCATTTCACTTGAGGGTATTTTCATTTTAGATTTCCTCGTCGATTCCTCACATGCAATACACGTTCCACGCTTTTTCTTGTTCCTTCAAAATTCGGGCGAAATCAAAATCTCAAAATGTAAGCAATCACGATATTACGAGTTTGCTGTTCATTTCACAGCCAATTTTTTTACATTTTTGCAAGCAACATCCTTATGAACATGTGCGCTTTGTTCATCTCCAATCGCTGGCAACGTATTTTCGACGAAGGATTGAGCGAATTACTTAATAACTTTAAATTATTATCTATTGACGAAAAAAAAGAAATCGCGGTGCGAACAGAGACACGATCAACTCTCAAACAGAGAAAGAATAACGCGTAGAAATTGAACGAACCTGTTGTTAAAAGCCTGAACAAATGCAAATGGTATGGTGCCAGTTGCACCAGTCGTGTGTGTGTGTGTTTTTTTTTTCATTCTCTCGCAACATGTTGATCGCAAAACTGTTTAATTTAGCTGAAAGAGAATGAAGCCATGCGATTTATTCTCTAACTTTTAGTTCGTGGAAATATCCGTCGAGTGAATTATTGAAATAACAAGAATGAAATAAAAAAACTTAAATATCTCTGCAGTTTATTTCCTCGTACCATATTTGCATTGGATAAAGTTATTTTTTCTCTCCCTCCTGCAGTTAAATTGCGACGACGGTGGTAGAAAAAAAAATAGACGAACTTCGTTTCGAATGCATAATATTTTTAATGAAAAATTCGAATTTAAAAAAGTAGGGAAAAAAGAGCCGTACGGTGAGTGCAAGAGTAATATATTTCAAGATGCTGATTATAAGTCTTCGTTGTGCATGTTTTGTGATGGCTGTGAAAAGATTGAGCATTTGTGCTTGGGGAATGCATTTGTGGGAGAGTGCAGAAAAAAAAGCAAAGAGAACTAGAGCGGGAGTGGGATTTTAGTAGAGATTCTCTGCTAGAGAATGAGAAAGAAAATAGAGAAAATACATTCGTTATACAAATTTTCCGCGAATTTTATTTTTGCTTCCAATAATAAGTTTTTCGTTGAATGGGAACGAAAAAGTAAACGGAGTACGAAAAAAAAATGGAACAAGATGCATTACGAGCCAGCTCTTGAGAGATTTCATCTTCCATCATTCAATTATTTGATGAGTTTTTCATGGTATAACTCACCATATTATTCAGTTCGGTAGCCTGACCGTTGTTGAATCGAAATGACGAGGAACAATATTGATGTAAAATAATTGTATGCGAGCTCTGGCATACATAGATATAAGCTCTGACATAAATACAACGGGAAAAAACGCGTTCTAACGTCGATCAGAAATATTAAATTTCAAGAAGGATTTTGCTTTCCATTCGATTTGAAATTCCATATTGCAATATCCAATAGACGAAGAATAAATAAGATAAATTCTTTTCTAATAAAAACCATTTCATTGTATTTTCCTTTTTTTCCCTGCAGACACAAAAGAAAGATGACAAACTTCTGGCCGTGCAAATCGTTGCCGAAGCGTAACGGACATTTGGACACAAGTGGAGTTTCAACTGGCCATTCAGTTGCATACGAAGACCCAGATGCACATCTACATCATCATCCATTGGTACGGCATCATAATATGGAGGTAATTGTGCTGAACAGAAAGAAATATTCCAAGAATCAAAGATTGTTTTCACCACTTGAACAACCAATGAAAACCCAATGAATCGAATTACACGACACATTTACCGGAAGATTATTCAAGTAGCACAGTTAAACGTTACAGAAAATTAAATCCAGTTAACAAATTATTATTTTCTAATTGAATCAAATGTAAAAAAATCGAAGAAAAAGACAATGCCATGCCGTATATGAATAGCACTTGAAGCGGAAACAAACCAATAGTGTCGATGGGTTTGTCAAAATATTGTGATTTAATGTGTCAACACACACACACACACACACGGTGCACGTTACCTGAATCACAATGCGCTTGAAAATGAGACGTAAATTGAATCTATCCAGATCCGTGGTACACATATATATAATAAAGAGCTCATTTTTGAGCACAGAACAATGGTGATCGAATAACAATGGCGCTGCATAGACCATGATGATGACGATGACAAAAGAGACACGTTACAGTCAAATGAAAAGAACGGATATTCAGATCACATCCAAGTAACTAACAATGTGTATCAGCGCAGTAGCAGCAGTAGCACCAGCAGACCAAGTTCAATGAAAAACTACGATTAAAAGAAACACTCCGATGACAAGGAAATGAATTGGGATTGTTGTACGCCTCCTTTTGTTTGGCAACGACATTGTGAATTGCAAGCGACTTTTCAAGAAATTTCGAAAAATGGAATCTATCTCACAGTTGAAGTAATTCAGAATTATGCTCAGAAAGTCTTTAGTATTTCATGAGCCATCAAGTTGCTCGCATCAAAATGGGCTGTGACGAGGTTAAACCTACAAAAAAAGTAATCTTGACGAAAAATTGTTCATCCAGTTGAAATGAATCATTTTAAACTCTACCACGAGCAGTTTCATGCTGCAAAAAAAATATTTGCTTTGCACACAAAACAAACAAATCATAGACCAAAATATCACATTTCATCTCAATGAAAATCACCGAAAAAAAACCTGAAGCGAAAATAAAAGTGAAAAAGGTAACGGCAACAGCAGCAGCAGCAGCAGCAGCCGGGGATCATGGCCAAGAATGGTGTGGAAGAAAAACACACCGTTGCCGCGTTATATGCAAATATTTGCGTATGGATTTCAAGCGAAACGCCTTGACGATTTAGATTGATTTTTTTTCAGGCTCAATTTTTTCAAACAGACGACTTGCTTGTGAATATACCCAGAGAAGCAAAACAGATTTGAGCTCACTTTTTTGTTTTTGTTTACATCCGAACTCTTTTATCGGAGCGCATATGGAACGGGCTGACCGGTGCTTAATTTCAGCACATTTCTCTTCATTCACCCGTCTTTACCTCTTTTCAAAATCCTTCTTTTCTCATTCTCGTTCTCTATCTCTTTCTTCACTCTCTCAACGATCCAAATAAATAGAGAAAACGCTGATTTTATTGTGTATTCGACAATACAATGTCAACCCATTTCCTTCTTCATATTATATTGTTCATTGCTTTTTCCGATATGTGATGATATTCAAATGTGGCCGTTACCGAATTTTAGTTTTCGAACGTGAAAAACCAGTTCCTTGTGAAGTTCCTTTAGCATGTGTGTGTGAGTGTGTGTGTTCTTTCCTTGAATCCCAAAAATGGAAAAGGAATAGAGTTTTCGAGGCACGAATTCTTCTTAATTCTCTGTGCCATGCGTTCGATGCTATTATACCCTTTTTTGTGTGTGCTCTTTTCGCAATAGACAATATAAAAATCAGGATGAAAAATAAAACGGAGAACAAGTTGCTTACACGGGATCACGAGAAACACACAATGTTCCAAATTCATATCGGATTTCACATTTAGATCCGTTCGATTTCATACGCCTTTTTCGTTGTTGTCATCATCTTCTTTGGCTCTTTCTTGTTTTTTTTTCTTCTTCTTCGAATGTTCCCATTGTTCGATGAATTTCCGAAGCCGTCTTTTCAAAAGCAACGGAGATGTTTGTCTCGAAGATGAATATCAGCAGTTTTGTTCCTATGGCAAACGAGGAATACGACGAAAATGTGACCATTGTAGAAAATGCTTGTTCACATGCTGCAAACAAATGAGCGGAATTTTTTTTCTTCTGGAAGTGGTCGTTGTTAAATGCTGTCAATTTAATTGTGTCGTCAATGAACGAATTTTGGGCTCTTTTGCTGCAATCTCGTGCAACGACAACAACTCGCTAGAACATAATATTTCCTCTTTGCCACACCACATCAATTTTTTTGCATGTGTTCGAGGCCTTTCTTGTGAATTTCATCATTCGGTGCGGTGTAATTTGAATGTCATCTTTTGCAGTCGAATGCAAACAATGAAATGATGATGGTAACAGCGATAAAATCTACTATTTACTCGCCGCGACTATATCGATACCTTTGGCTGTGTGATCTGCTTTAGATGCACGCGGCACTCGATTCATGTCCATCTAAAGAATATATAATACCCACTTATGGGTTTTTTTTTGTTTGCGTTCACTCATGTGATTCGATACGATATGTGGCTGTTCAATTTGTTTATGAATGGTATGGTGCGGCTACGTTGCTGCGGCTAATTTGATGCTGTTTCTTCACTTTCGATTCTCGCAATGTTGGCAGTTTCATTAAAACACACGAGAATTCCACCGAAAAAAGCCCAAAGCATTCTTTTTATTTTTAATGAAATGAAAGAAATGATTCGTAAATGAGAGATGGGAATCATTGATAACACTAAGCCGAATCGAAAAAAACGAGCATCGTTTTGATGTTTTTTAGATGTGTTTACACCGACGCATCGATGAAATATCGATTCAACGGCCCTCAACCAAGCATTCTGTAGAATTTTCTACTTATGTCAGTCTTGAGTGACCAACCGACCGGCCGCTTGCTCACTCGTTCACATTCAATTACACTCAAGTGGTTCATAAACATGGCTTTGTGAATCGATAGTGGAATGCCACGAATTCGAAAAGAAATTGTAATTTAATGTTTATTTTGATTGAATATCTTTTGAAATGCAACAGCATCCAATTGAAATTCCCTTTGTATTTAATTGAAGTTGAATATCGAAAATGAAATGCCTGATAGAAAAAAAGGGGAGTGAAACGGTACAAGCACTGAACAAACTGACTGAATTAAACTCAGCGTTCGTCCATTGAATGGAACGGCATTGGTTAATCTCTTCTTTGTGTTTTGACCGATGAAAAATGATTATTGAAACATTTACTTACGTTTCGCAAAGATGCCGTTTTTTTTCTCGTGTACTCAAGACTCGACTCTTTAGTGAAGAGAAGAAAAAAAAATTGAAGAAGAAAGAGAATTTAATTCGATCAAGAGAAAGAACCACAAAGAGCCACTTTTCATTGCCCACATTCGTTTTAGCTCCACTTTATCTCGACGACTGAGTAACATCAATCAAACTGGCATTTCTCTTGCGCCGTTCGCTCATGTTCCCTTCGCCTATTTACATTTAAAACATCGACATTCAATGAATGTGTATCAAACGATTGAGACGACAAGAGAACGAGAAAAAGGAAAAAAATTTATTTCTCTTCGGTTTTCTGTTAAGCGATTGAATGGATTCCTTGCAGCACCATCACCATCGCCACCACCACTAACAAAATAAGTCGAAATTCTTTGTACAAGAAATTAAAATACAAATTGAAAATCGGTTTTGGTTAATCGGAATGCGGAATTTTTGTTATAACCGTAAAAAAGAAATCCCGAATGCCATCATTTTGTTTCTGGGTTTTCAATAAGACCTTATCCAGTTATCGATCCAAAGTAGTTTTCGATTTTAAATTCAAATGGTTTGATATCCACAAGAATTGGTTCAATGACGAAGTACCTGATGCTGTTTGTCGAGATGACGTTTCGCATCGCATCGCATATCATACACTGGATCATCGAAGTACGGTTGAATTCTCTGCAAGCATCGGTCACATTAACATCAAACAACAACGATTTATACGAATTGTCGCCCATTCAGTGGAAACGACTTGCATACACTTAGCATAGTTCAAGGGAAACTTTTATGACTTTGCCCACACAGTATAACAAGATTGCGTTGTCATTGAGAGTCGACAAAAGAATGCACTTTCCATAGCGCCCGAAACTAAAGCATCACACAGCATTCTTACCCGCTCCTTGCTATACACACGTACATAAAGTGCTCACACTGCCATGAATACCATCTAATTGTACTTGTAGATGCGCACTTTTTTTACCCTCGGCAATAGAATCCGATCGCTTCAGCAACACACACACACACATCCACGCATGGATCTTGTTTACACAAGGCTGTGAAGTGGAGCGTTTGTTTGCACCATAACATAAATACCATCCATTTTTCTTTATGTCTTTTATGCACGTATGAGCTTTAGATGTGATTTCTCTCTCTCTTGTTTGGATCGACGGGGCTGACGAGAGTGCTTAGTTTGTGGCACACGCACGCACAAAAATATGCACTGATTCTTATGCAAGTCAAGTCAAGCGAACGAAGAGCAAGAGCGTCGCGCGTGTATGGATGATATTCTTTGGGCATTACATGTTTTCAAATCCATTTAAAGCATTCAAACGTGAATAATATCATCACTCATGATACATCATAAACACGTACACGGGTCGAGAACAAAAGTAAAGAAAATTCAATTCGCACCGAAACGACCGTTGAGAAAAACAAATGCACATTGTGCAATGATTTTACAGCAATAAACATACACTCACCCATCCACCCACCTACACATACAAAAAATGAATATAAACATTAACAGTTTTTGCTGTTGCCTTTTCTCTCCCCAAACCATTTATTCAAAGCACATGAAAAGAGTGCCGACAAGAAGCGGTCGATGCAAGCAACAGAGGCACAAGACACAAACAAGTAAACAACATGTATGAAAGTATCAAAAGACGATTCTTTTGACGAGCGATGCACAGAGAAAGAGAAAGAGAACAGAAAGCAAAAAACCGGGTGAAAAGTGCGGGCGCAAATTGCTCACAGACAATATTTAAGCGGATAAACGGAAAAGATAAAATAAATTTTAAATTCTCAAAAGCATTTCAAAAGCACATGCACGGGTAAGACTGTATGGCATCAAAAGCGATTGCCACATGAACAACCGGAATGAGAAAAAGCATGAAAATTGAATGCCAATTACAAGTAAAGTCTCAAAGCAAACTAACTCAACGCACATTACACGCGTACAGAATGGCAAAAACGACAACGGCGACGATGATAAAGAGGCATGGACTCTTTTCTCTCTCCTATTTCAGAACAATGCCAGTAAAGAGAGGGAAATTTTCACAACAATCATCCTTCACAGGCACACTCACTCACACACATTCATGTGTGGTCTTAAGTCGTTCGCATTCAATCGTTGTTGGCTTCATCAAATGCGTTTACTCGACCTGAAAACCCAACGTTTGCACTCCCTCGCTGCATATGTGCTTTCGATGCGTAAGCGATGGTTAAACAGCATTAAAAGCAGAAAGAGAGAAAAAAGGCATCGAGTCGCTCATCCCATCAGCTCAAATACTTCTTTAAAGTTTCCTCCGGTTTTTATTTCTTCTTTTCTATGCATCTCTTCGGGGTACTTTCTTTTCACATCCTTTATTGTTGCAGTGTTTTTCTACCTCTTGAGAGAGAAAAACGGAGAAAAGGAACTTGGAATGTTTTTTTCTCCACTGACATCGTGCATTATGTATGTGCTTTGCTTGGATTCTCTTTTTTTTCTGCCTTTTATTCAGTCGTATGTGCACTTGGCTTTTTAGTGTTCTTTTATGTCAATTTATCGGGCCGAAGTCAGCCGTCGTCGTCGTCGATGTCGTTGCCGACGTCGGTTGCTTGCGAAAATATACATCAAGAAAAGTCACATCAAATTAGTCTTCGGAAAACCCATGGCGCAATAATAAATGACCACAATAATCGTCAACTGAATGCGACAGTCGACAACGAATGCGAAGGGAATATAAACCGTGTGAAGCATGATGCTCTCTCTCCATTTCTCTCGATTCCTCGCCTCGTGCTTTCGCCTTTTTAGCAGAATTATAAATGAGCTAACTAAATTGAGTTTTTGTATTCGAATTGCCTTCTCTCACTCTCCCTTTGCACACCACCATCCAAAAAACATGGCAAAGGTAAAAATGGGAACTTCGCCATAAAGTATGGCTCTTTGCAAACCATTCAAAATGATGTGTAACTGTATTCAAAGTCTTAATTTTGTTTTATATTTCACGAGAAGTAAATAAAAAAAACACACGGATTTAAATTCATAATCAAGTCTTGAAAGAGAGAGAGAGAGAGAGAGAGAGAGAGAGAGAGAACGCGCGCACAAGAGATTTCTCTCGAGTCATAAAATGCGGAATGCCAGCATAATGGCTCACTGCTTTGAATGATGTAAATTTTTAAAAGGATTTGATGGTAATAATTTTGGTTTTTTTCACTGCAAAACAGCATCGGTTGACCTTGATTTTTTGACGATATACTAACACACACACACATACACGCAGGGACATTGGTTCATCACACAAATCCACAGCCGAATTTATGACTTGTGCTGTGTAACACAAAACGGCCAAATGTTAAATAACAAATCGACTTCGATTTGCTCGAAAATTAATTCCATTCAAACTGGTCTGTATGTACATTACATAGAGTTCGGTTTGAATGGATTCGAATGTCGCTGCTGCTGCTGCTGCCATCGCCGTCGTCAAGTTGAAACGATAATACTGACATCAACAACAACGCTGACGACAAGTCATTATGTTCAATAGCACTCGCAAACAGCAATGTGTTGTTGGTACTGGTGATGTTTTTTTTCTCCCACGTTCAAATACGTTTTCTCGATCGGAACGGTTTTAGCGTCTGAGTGCTCGTCAGACAAGTGCTGAAGTGTACCATAATTGCAGTGCTCGGTGGTCGAAACTCAAAGGAATGCGTCTGCTAAATGATTCTTCAATGCACCACATGACCCATACAATAAATAAATCGATTTCGTTACTCATGGCTCTTCGACGCCATTAGACACTGTGTGCTGGCGAGATTTTTGCTCGCCAAACAACACAGATTTATGGACACAAATGAACAAGTGGCTCAGCACAATATTGAATCACACACACACACACACACTCAGGAAAATAAGTGAATCAAAAAAAATATCCAGTTGCAATTGTCACATTTTATTTGCTCTTGAGGTGTGATTTTTGCACTTAGTCGCCTTGGATTTATTTCTTTCATTTTGGTGGTAAACCGAAACAATTGAGAGAAGAAAAAGCAAAAAAGCCGCAATGAATATGCAAAGTTGGTTTCAAATTAAAAAGTAGCACGCAGCAGTGGCTGCAGCAGCATTAGCAGCCAAAAAGAAGTGCTCAATTTTAGCAAAATGAAGTGCACTTCGATTAAATAATACCGAAAAACGGTGGAAAAACACACAGTTACCGAGAAAAGGGGAGAGAGACAGCGAGCGTGAATGGAAGACAAGCAAAAGTTTTTCTAATGGATTGTCGTGCATTCATTTAACGCATTTCGAGCAGAGAGCTTGAGCTGCATAACATTGCGCGTACATAAAATTTGACCCATTTTTTTTGTTCATTTCAATTTAATTCAAATGGAAATGCATTAAGTGTAATAGTTTTCGTTTTTCTGTGCTATTATTTGCCATTACGCGAATGGAAAATCGATGCGTTTTGACTTTGTTTCTTTTTCACTTATTCTCTTCTCGCTTTACAGCGCATAAAAATTATCGCTTCAGAAATGAGCGTGTAAATTGAATTCATTGTTTTCATTTGGTTTTGTTATCCAATGCACAAGAAGTGTTTAAATATGATTAGCATTTTTATGAACGATGAAAGATCAAAAGCTGTTATTAAAATGGAATCGTTTGTTTTTTTCCCCCTTTTTCCAGATGTTGCACCCAAAGACGATTCATTTTCCAAGTGGATACCCAATTTCGCGTTCACCGCCAGTATTTGTGTGTGCATCGCCCGGTCCCGATCCATACCGTTCGTTGGATAACGTCTATGAAGAGTTGGGGCCACGTGATTCCGATATCGAAAGTGAACCGCGAGTGCAGTCGGATGATGATTTTGCTGAGGATGAACTGAGTTTGAATGGAGGCGCCGCACAACCATATCACATTTCGTCATCGGTTCAGGATGGTGTCTTGACTACGGCAAACAATACATCGATTCCGATGGCAACATCCACCTCAACGTGTGCTGCCATCTCGCAGACAATACCATCGATATCGAGTCTGTACAACGAATGCTTGAATAGCGCAGGCAATGCAAACCACAGCAGTGATAATAACAATGGGGATAATAGTCACATGAATGGCAATCCAAACGAAATGGAGCGCAATTCAAACGATAGACACTCGTTGCTTTCGTCATCATCGTCGTCCGCATCAACGGCACCGGTGAATGACGGTGCGGCTGGCAATAGTAATAGTTCGTTTAGTAGTGGTCCAACACGAATCGCTAGTCCTGACAGTGGTTTGGCGTTACGCAATCGCACCAAACGAATGCGAAACGGTGGCAAAATGACACCATCACCCAGCGATGTGCCCACAAATCGTAATATGCACGAGAACGGAAGCCACGATGACACATCGTCCGAATCGAATCATTTGATGAATCAACATCCGTATTTCAGTCATCAAAGTCAAAGCTACAATCAATATCGAAGTAACAATAACGTAGAAATAAGCCATAGCAACTCAAATAACAGTAGCATAAGCAATCAATTGAATAGTGTAAATAATAATGTGAATAGTCGAAATGGAAGCGGTGCAATGTCAACCAATGTTGGTCAAATCAATGGCACAAACAGTGATGTTGAACGTCACAATCAAATCAATAAGCAGTTATCGTCATCGGAACATCCGATGATCCCGAAATTTGGCGGCAATCGATCGGCCGTGCCCACCAATTATCAAAGTCAAATGGCACAAGAGCAAATGATTTCGACCATTTTCCCGGGCCGTTTAATCAATAGCAATTCGAATTTAAACAATTATAATCGCATTCAAATGCAAAATCAATACTATTCACCGAGCGATAATATCCGTTGTCCGGCAAATGGTAACAGTCGTTCGCGTACCAATCCGCGGTCATCGCGACACAGAGCCACCGGCAGCACGCTGCCATATTCCTATCAAAATGACAACACTTACAGCTATGCCGAGCCAGTGTTTCACGAAGATATGGCCAGTGCGTGTGCACCACCGCTGCATGGCGCCTATCGAACCATTTCTACATCAAATCGTCGCCCGTATCATTCAAACCTACACTCATCGCCATACATGCCGAACTATCAGAATTTTAACGAACGCGATCCAAGGCATGCACGCAGTAGAAATCACATTGGAATTCCATCCACTTCAACCGAAATGGGCCATATCCAACCAATCTACTCGCACGATTCAAGTTTCGGTTCGGATTCCGGCTACAGTCAATACACACACAACAGCCGATCGAAAAGTGATGGCAGCAATTCGGCGCACAGTGGCAGTAGCAATGGAAACAATACCACGGTCACATTGTCGAATATGTTCTCTTGGGCACGGCGCAAAGAACAACAGCAACAGTCAAATCGAAATAGAAACACTAACGGCAAATCGATTCCACCGATGCGAAGCTCCTAAAATTTGATGTGATATCAATAAGTTTGGCCATAGAAATGATCATTGAAAATGACACTGCGATTCCAAATATTTAACACAAAAATTAAAATCCCCTAATTTTATTCGAGAGAAAAAGAAATGTTGTAAATAATTTCTAAAGAAAAAAAAAGTTGCGTATTAAAATGCAATCATTGGAACATCCAAGCAAAAATTATGTGAAAATCCATTGAATTTGTTGGAAATAGAAGAAAAAATAGCAACTATCATTGAATTTCATGAGATCAATGTGTTTTTGTTTCGGATTGGATCAATGCATATGCATAACAGATTAACAATTAGTTTGTATTAGTCGTGAAAAACGAATGAACGAACGAGTCGTCGAAATGTAAAATGTTTAACAAAAATAAGCGACATAAATTAATCCAAGCAAGTAAACAATTTGTTCGACAATTGCCATTAATTTCTATAAGAAAGAGAGAGATAAAAACATCATTCATTAGTATTTAGCATACATATAGAGACGAACTTTTAACTATTTAGATTCTGTACATTCTGTCTTATGGTTCTTGTATATTCCTAATAAAACAAGCAAACCAATCGAATTAAATGCGATTGTGTTGCGACCTACGTAAGTTTCTTTCGGAACGATTGTGAATAGAAAAAAAAACATAATATGAATAATAAAAAAAATGAATGAATTCAAAGCAAATAAAAAAACGAAACGAATTGAAATGAAAATGCACGCAAATGTTATTTCTGATACATTTTTAGCTTACCGAAATGAAGATGAGAAGAAACAAAACGAATTCAAGCGCTAATTTTAGCCTCTAAAAATTAGATTAGAATTTCAAAGTTATGTATCATAAAACTGAAAGAACACACACACTAACTAACTTAAAGAAAACTGTAAACATGTGAAAATCTGTGATTTGTTTGATTTTAATTTTGTTTTATTGATACGGTAATGCTAATCAAGTAATTAGATGAACGAAAAGCAAAAAAAAAAAATAATTTCTCGACTGTTCTCACACGCGCTTCTGTCCATAAATAACAAACTTTATCGTTTCACACAAAGACACACACACACACACACCGACGTATCAGTTTGTCCAAGTCGACATAAATGTTGTAAACTAAAGGCAAAACGAAAAACGGAGCATAGAATACAATATTCAACTGCAATTCAATTCATTAATCATAATCGTTGTACCGATCCCAATATATTTGCCACACACATTTTTTTTTACTACTTCATTTTCACATCATTTCGAAGACATTTGCTTTTCATTTTAAATCCTATTGTTTTATTTTCATTTCGACAACAATGTTCTAGTTCGTAAGCGTAATTTTAACTTAACTATGAAAGAAATGAAGAAAAGAAAAACCTGTAATTAACATTTGTAAGGATTCGATTTTTTGTCCTATTTATTTATGAAATTGTTTTTGAATTTTCGTCCAATTTTTTTTTCCTTAAAAAAATGGAATAGAAAAATTATTTATGCAAACAAACGAAAAACCAAGCAAATAAATAAAATTTTCAATTAAATTAAACACACGAACTGTTTCAATTTGTCTTTTTTCTTCTTATTCGTGTTGCCACCCTCAGATTTTCCTTTTTTTAAGGCGATACAGCAAATATTGCGGAGTAACAAATTTTTTGGAACGACCAAAAATAATCTTTTGATATTCTTCGATATGCGGCTCGACAGAAAATGATTGTTTATACAACGGGACACATGTTTTGTGAGTAGGCAAGTGCAAATCCTCTGTTTCCAATATCCAAATTTTCATCTCCGTCCGTCACCACGTACAACACATACGGAAAAATATTACCTGTACGGAACAAATTATGAATAATTGAAAATGATTGTGTTCACGATTGTCGTCTTACGTTTGGACTTTAAATTTTTAGGCTTACTCGTTGTTGCCGTCAATCCAAGGCCACAAAATCGATCACTTCCGCTTGTGAGCAATGTACCGTCTTGACTGGGATTTGGAATGATTACATAATCTGTTGTACACAATTGCTCTTGAAGTGTTCCGGTACCAAGGAGAGCAGGGTCGACGGCTCCGACGTCGCCGGTCAATGTGAATGAATACACATCGGTCGATATTATGCTATAGGTAATTGAACACGATGAAATGGCTCGAATACAAATTCCATAGCTCAAACCTGCAATCTGTCGTGATCCTTCTACGCCAATCGAATTGAGCATTGGATTTGGTGACGGGCTATAGTTAAAACTTCGCACTATGCCGGTCGAGCCATAATGATACTGAAGACAGCCTGATGGAGCTGTGTAAATAAAAGAAGTTGAATTTAGTAATAATCGGATTTATATGTTACGTCATTTTATGCTTTTATCAATCGATCCTACGAGACATAGTTTGAGGAGGCAGATACATTGCTTTTGAAGAAAGGAAATCGAATACAAAACTTCTTTTAAGAATAGGTGAAGAAAATATTTCCATGAAAACCGACATGAAAATATTTCCACGGAAGAAAAAAAAAACACAAACGACTTCAATTCAATACCTCGCATGGCTGAATCACAATTGATTTGTGTGGCTCTAATGAACCAATGTCTGCCAAAGGTGAAACTAGACGTGGCCGCAATTGTGATTGATATGGAGTTTGTGCCATCAAAATCAACAACAACATGCTGACCGCTATTTTCTCCGCATATATTTGGAACGCCCGTTGCTCCGCCAGTAATTTGAATCACGTCCGTATTGCAAACACCGTCGCCACTTGGTCCGGCTAAAGATAAATCGGAAAATTCAACACGGAGCTGGCACACGGTGCTACTGCACGGGTTCACTGTGATTGAGCATCTGTAGATAGAGGGAAACAACTCAATGAGGAATAATTTGGCCTATTACTATTGGAAGGATTAAATATTCAAAACTTACGTTCCACCGCTCCATAGGCCAGGATAATTTGGGCTTACGAAGTATGTGTTGTTATTGGCTGTGGTTCCGCCGCACGTTTGTTGATCTGTGAATTTGTTGAATTGTTCACACGAAATTTCATGATTAGAAATTTGAAAAAATAAATAGCAAGCAGCAATCAAAACATATTCAACTTACAAACACAACAAATGGCTTGACGTGTAATCGAATTGCAGCTTCCCGTAGCAACACCGCCTGCGTCTGTGCATTCTCCTCTCAAAACGCATGTTCCCATCAATTGATTCGAACCAAGGCATGGTGTATTGACGAATCGTCCGAGTGTGTAAAATGGAAACCCTATAAATACAACGATTCATTTCAATTCTCTTCGACTTTGCTAATTGCTAAACGCTGTACAAATTTAGCACAATTCGAAATAACGTATTTACATCCATTTATACGCGCATCCAATATATGAACCGAGTATAAGAACACACGAATGACACACAAAAAACCGTTGTAACAGCAATTAATGTGACGATTAGTAGTCATGCTCGTTTAATTAACGAATTTAATGTAATTCAAAACCACAAACAAAAATCAAGAACGATCAAAGTTGTTAATTGGATTTCAATGTATGCGAGATGATAAGAAAAATGGAGGAAAAATGGCACACAATTCCTTTCATTTAATTAACGAGAGTGATTGCCCTATATTGAATCATTATTCAATGTTTTGAATCTTTGTTTTGTGATGTAAATTTCACTTTGACTTACATCGACCCTGCCGGTGTGATGTATGATTCTGGTCGAATGTATGGTTTCGTTCTGCCGAAACCAATGTATCGTCTAGACTATTGTGTTCGTATGTCAGCAGCGCTTGAACCATTGAATTCGATATACACATGTAAATGATCAAATGTGGTAAGAAACTCGACGAATTTTCTATCGTTTTCCAGCCATTTCGATAACGCATCTTTTGTAGTTGGTTATGATTAACCATTGCAGTTTTGACGCGTTTCTCTTTCATTTGGTGTGTTCTGCGTTTGAATTTTGTTTTTATTTATTTATCTCATTCATTCGATGGCATGTGTATCTTACACGCGCCAAAATGTGTCACTTGAGATTGTCGTTTGCTTTAATCTATGCATCAATTTATCTTGTTCTCTCTTGTACGCTCTCTCGTACACTTCAACCAGAGAAGAAGAAGAAGAAAAATTAAATCACGACGAATAAGAATCACGTAATCTGTCAAAATCATACAACGCTGAAATTTTTCTCTCTTCTAATCTTTGGCACTGCAATCCTTCTTAAAAAGTCTTTGCGATTGAACGATATTGCTTCGAATGCGTTATTGATTGATGGGAATTTCCCGTAGATTGTCTATTCCACTTTTTTGTACTCAATTTGAAAAAAAAACTCTACCAACGTCAGCACGAATTAATAAATTTCTGCGAAATATCACTGCACTTGGATTAAGGTCTTATGACCATATATTCTTCACAACACTTTACACGGCATTTTATGCGTCACTGTTTGAATCTATCACTACCCGATTTCAAATCCCCAATCACAAGACATAATTTCAAATGCGTTTTAACTTCAACGAGCAACGGCGAACGAATGAACTGATTGTGATCAAGAAATGAAATTTGAACATTGCTTGCAGGGTTTTTATAACCATCGTACGGTGGCCGTGATGCTAGATTGACTCGCATCTCACTTATGCTATGATTTAGTCGGGCATATTGAGGTGCTAATTGGTTTGCACGAAACTTCGCTTTTTCTTACGTGTCAAATTTTACGTAAAATAGTTCAAACCCAACATTTCGGCTGTCGTATCGTTAGAGCAAAACCAAACAGTGTATCAGTATAGAACCGATGATTGAATTATTTCAACCTCATTTTGAAGAAAAATCGTTGTTGTTTTAATCACGACGACATTTCAAACTGATATTGAATTCCAGAAGCAACCAATTTTTTTCGTTTTGAATACGAGTCAATGTCGATTTTAAAACGGTACACCAAACCGCTTACACCAAACTCGTATGAATGAATTTCTAAAAAGCCACATTCGAACTTTGGATGCGCATCAAAAAACGAAAGTGAAAGATGCCTTGCTTGGGGGGAGTTGAAACTTAATGTCATAAAACATCATTAGGCAGATAAAAAGATATGAGTCCATCGAAAGCCGACCCAATTAAAACCAAAATTTCCCGTTGGCAGATGTGTGGGAATTTTTCGTGGCACACAAATGTGTCTCCAGTGTTCGTAGTGTTGATTTATTTTCAGCCAAAACTTGTTAAAGCAAAAAAAAATAGCAATGCGCGTAATTGTAAGAGGAAAGACGTCGCACACCAAAAAAAGCCGGCAAAAAATGAAGCATCATAAAAAAAATTCATAATTGTTGGCGAATTTACAAAAAAATGTAACTTTTCAAGCTGCATTTGAGAGAGACGCAATTCATTAAATAGAGCAGGAAAGATGTATTTGTTCATCTCGATTGGATTATGCTAATCCTTTTACTTTTGGATAATTCGTTACGGACACAAAAAAAACCCACAATACCGATTTCTTATGCTACCTGAAATGGTAACTTTCCTCGTCTATCTTCGTGTCGTTCCGTCCTTTTTTTCTTCGTTTCTCCGTCATTCCATCTTTCGTTTCGGATAGCAAGAAATTTGCATATGATGCATGCATGCATCGGGACATTTTTGCAAATGCAGAGACAAATGTGCACCAAAAACTCCCCTTCTCTCTCTTTTTTCTTTCTTTTTCTCGTTTTGCTTGCCATTCGAAGCAGTCGGGAAATCTGTCGATCGAACATTGGGAAATTTACGCTATAAAATATGCACCGCAGACCAAACTACAATCAGTATCTCTTTGAGTTCGAAAGCAGAAACATCTAGTTAAACCAAGAACGGTTTTGCAGTAAAAGTTTCTTGAGATAAAAAAAAAAACGAATTCTTCAGTGTGAAAGAACAAATTGAAGAGAAAATGATGAGCTCTGTGTTAATTGATACATCGTGTTTCGTACATGAGATTCCGTTGAACATTTATCGAACTGTGTGTGGTCAATTGGATCAAAATGATCGTTGGCAGAAGTTGGCACGTGAGATTGGCTTCGAGAATTCGGTCATCGATGAATTGAAGCAGTCACCAACACCGTCATCGAAATTGTTGTCATTGTGGGGAGATCAAAACCATACAGTGGCCGAATTATTCATGGCATTTCATCGAATGAAGGAGAATCGATTGATGGAACAACTTCGGGACCTCGTTGACCAATCATATCATCGTCTCATTGTTGCAAAAAGTTCATCGTTCTCCTCGTTGAAAGCCCAAGTTCAAGCGTTAACGAAACCATACAATCATCATAAAAAATCAAATTCAACACCCAGATCCGATAGCTACAAACCGGATGTCAATCCATTTGACATTATCTGTGCCGGCATTCCACAAATTTCTTTGGACGAATTGACTCGTGCAACAAACAATTGGAGTGGAAATCAAGAACTCGGTGCTGGCGCCTTTGGAACTGTTTACCGAGGAAAATGGAAATGCACCGAAGTGGCAATCAAACGTATCGACTGCAATGGATACGATAAAAGTGCAACGACAAAAAAACGTCTCAAGCAAGTGGTGATTGAAATGCGTTTTTTGAACGAACATCGACACGACAACATTCTTCCACTGTACGGATACAGTTTCAACGGTTCATCGGCATGTTTGGTGTATCAAATGATGGCGTGCGGTTCGTTGGAACTTCGATTGAGACACAAAAAATTACCACTCACATACAAACAACGACTGAATATTGCTATCGGCACCGCTCGGGGACTTCAATTTCTGCACACATTCCACAAACGAGCCACGGTACATGGAGACATTAAATCAGCAAACATTTTGCTTGACAGCAATTTACAACCGAAAATCGGCGACTTTGGATTAGCCTGTCGAACAAGCGGTCACACCAAATCGAAACGTGTGTACGGTACTCATGCTTATTTGGCCGATGACTTCATTTCGTCGCTTATAATTAGCACTAAAAATGACGTATGGGCGTTTGGTGTGATCTTGTTTGAATTGGCTACCAGTCTTCGTGCGTATGACGAGCGTCGCGGCAGTTACAGTAAACTTTCACGATACATTTGGGCATTCAACGAATCACCTCAGCGACTCAACGAATTGGTTGAAGGACACTCGAAAAAAACATCGAAAAATGCAAATCCAATCCTAATGCAATTGGTTCACATCGGGTTTTCATGCACTCGAAAACGTGCCGCTGACCGACCTGAAATGTCCGACATTTTAAATTCACTCTTGGAAATATCATAAATTATGATTCATAATTCAATATTTTACCAGAAGAAAACGATGCAACAGCGTCGTTTATTGTAAGGAAAATTGTATTTGTTAGGAATTTAAATGTATTCATTAAAATTGTAAGCATTAATTGTTCAAGTTGAGAATTTGTAAAAAAATAAATAAATAAAGAATTTGTGATACATAATGATTCCGGTCTTTTCGATTAATTAGGGATTTATTCCGTTGGTTTTTCCAGAAACTTCGTTACGTCCGAATTCATGATTCGGATATTCGACTAGATACCCTTGGAGACAAGCGTACATTTGACTCTATTCGAATAAGTTGAACACGTGGAAAATATTGGATTCAATATCATGGTTTTTGTTTCGGATCTGAATTCACGGGAAAACAATGAAATTGATCTACCAATTATTTTCTAATTAAAATCAACAAAATTCGTCCCACATTCCATAGCGGTAAACATCTTTCGATGTTTGTCTGATCTCCCAAAAACCGTCCACGGTCGATTGAGACGTGTGTCAAACGAAATCATACATGAGCGCATAGCATTTTCATTGCAAAGAAAATTGATAATGATGCAAAATAATGAGGTGACCTTGCTAAAAGTTGCGCCAACAAATCAATGAACAAACGCTGTCTACCGAAAATACTTGTACGTAGTTCACAACGCTGACTATCCATAAAAAGTGTACAATTATAATGAATGTGTTGGAAAACTTGATATGCTCAAGTTCTGAAGACAAACAGTTAAGGAACGAAGGAGCGAACGAGCGAACGAGCAATCCCTAATTACGTTGATGCATCTCAAACGCTGAGTATCCAATGAACTGTTAACTAGAACTTTTCAGTCTATTTTCCCTCATCCGCTTACATTCCAAAGACAATGCAGAGTATATTACATAGCTGTCAGCAGTTTGAAGTCATGGAAATACTTTCAATTTGTCTTAGACGAATATTTGCGTACAGCAAACTTTGTGCTGGCGATGCACAAATAATGTCTAGTATTCTATTGCAACATTGGAATTTGCAACACAAATGCTACGGCGTGTATCAGTTGTTGTTGTGGTTTATCGCTGATAAAATTATGAATTGTGTATTCTTGCCGAAATAATGATTGTCTGATATGCGGATATTGCTCAACTCCACCTACAAATCACCATTTTTCGAGTTGATTCAATTACATTGTAACCGTCTTGTTGCGGTAAAAGTGATAATCCGCCAAATTAATTGCAATTTCACTACCTTGTGGCTTGTGCTCGAAACATTGGACAGATGATACAGGTCAAAGTATCGAATGAGGATTAATTAATGCACCGACCTTTACATTGAACGATAGTGAATACGACCAATGTTGGTTGAGATGTACAAGTTCAAGAAAATCAACAAATTTCGAGAAGGAACATCCTACAAATTATGCATTTTTGAACTTCATTTTTCTCGAATTTTCATTCGCCAACACATTGAATAAAGACCAATTAAATTTATTCGCAAGTTTTTATGGATTAGTGTGGGTTTTACTAACGAGAAACTTGAACCAAACGGAGAGATTGATTTTATGATCTTATCTCAGTATCCCACACAATGATTGTTCTCTTGAGAATTATTGAAATTCTTATTGAAATAATTTTCACTACGCAGCATTTGAATACGTAAGTAGAAAAATATAAGTTTCTATGAAAGAAAAAAATGAAACTGCTGCAAATCGATGTTGTGCATTAAAATGCATATTTATTCGAGTACCGCAATTGTCTGGTTCCAAATTTTGATATTGCAAATTCTTTTATAGCACTCAATAAAATGCGATTGGGGGTGTCATTATTGCGCCGAATCGTGATAGTTCCAATCAGCTTGAAAAATTCCGCGTATTCTGTGTCTGTCTACCTCTTGTGCCTGTTCATTCTCCACGGTCAATTTTATTGTTCGAGAATTGTAGATAAAATCGCATTTCGTCGAAACAACGGTTCGTCGGGAAATTTACAGTCTCCCACATGTAAAATTTAACAATTAATTGGTCGTTCACATTTTTTCGCGTCATTCTGATAAAATACATTAATTTGTTGTAACAATAAACATATCACGATTACGATATCAAATCATTGGTATTGTTTACAGACAAAATTCATAAAGCAATTTCATCGATAGACAATTTTTCTACCGTTGGTTGTATGTGTGTTCGTAAATCGGTATCGTTCGAATTATGGTTTTCATCAAAATTAATGTTCACACGTATTTCAATAAATGTGGGCAAATTCGAACAATTGCTCACCTTAATAAACGAAATTATTACGCCGAAGTGGATGGAGATACACTCAAATTCACGTTGTCTGTAAATCGAATGTTTTTCGTGTTACAAACTCATCGGCAATTCATTGCGGGTAACTTTAAATGTGAGCAGCAATGGTGCAGCGGATAGATTTCCGGCTAATAGGTAGCCATTGTTAATGATATTTCACAATTAAATGATTAAATACCAGAAGACGAGCGTGCTAATTCATGCGCATATATGTGTATACAAAATACTCCTCCCCTAAAAGCCAGTGTGTGAATCGATAGTTTGTGAATCGCCATTATAGTATTGTTTTACGCTTTACGTGTGCTATTCATCATCATCATCATCATCAGTGATACAATTGTTGTGAGACACACATTCTCCATACACACATATCTTATTTAACGTCCATCATCCCTACTCCGATCCATCATGTTCGATGACGATATTTTATATGACTTCGAATGATTCAGCAAAAGAAAAATTAAACTAAAACGCCAATTAGCCAAACGAAACACTATAAGTCCTATCAGTTAGTTTAGAAATGCTTCGCATTTAATTAGTTAGTTGGTGTTTGACAACGGAACGCATTAGCCGCGAATTCAATTTTAGCGGCCAATTCAAAGGAATTCAATTGAACTTGCATATAAAATTTGTGGGGAAGATAAAAATTCAAGTTGAAAAAATTTGTGTGCATTGAACAAAGTTCAAAAGTGTTAATGGATAATTTTTCTTCTTAGTTCGGTGAGAAGCATCATTTGTGTATTTGATAGTAAATTTGCATACGAAATGTAGAAAAACCGACGAATTCAAAGCAACAACCCAATTGGGGACTTTTTTTATCAAATGAATTGTTTTCCCCCGTAATGTTTGAGCGTTTTAGTGTCTATTTTTATATTATGCGAGAGAAGAAAAAAATCCCAACATACGGAAGTTTCTTCGATCAATTCTTCATTATTTTCTTTTGTCTTTGTACTGTGCCTTTTTTGTTCGGGGGACATTTACCTGAGTGTGCTTCATGCAGTTTGACTGTAAAATAAATACATTAGGCCGAGAAATTCCAATCAACTGGGATTTTCTTCGCATCCTTATTTTTGTGTGTTTGTGTGTCAAAACAACACATTTTATGTTTATGTTGCAAATGGTGCGGATGATAATCGTTTGACTCGTGTTTGCCTATGTGTGATCATTTACATGATTTTTCGACAATTTTGCACACATTTTCCCCTTGTTATGCAGATAACTGAGCATCCAATTTTGATGGGAATTTTTACATTGAAAAAAAAAAAAACAAAACGACATATGTGTGCATCGCAAACGGATTTTGTGCATACTCAATTGTGCTGTTGAACAGTTCTTTTGTTCAATACTGGCGCCTGGTTCAAGCTAACAAAATATTGATGGTATTTTTTTTCACCAATAAATACATTATACATCCTGAAAACCACACTCTCAGTTCAACCGAAGAAGAAACAAATGTGTTTCCACACTTTGAAAAACGATTCAAATATTCTCACACTTTTGACTCGTGCCCATAACAACGAGTTTAAATTATCTTTTGGGTAATCGCCCGAAACACAAGCCAACACGGTGAATGCTATGGAATTCCTAGCAACAATGTCAAACATATGGTAAAACAATCGGCGTGTGCCCAACTAAATAAATGCTAATTTTATTGCACGCTCTTCGCCACAGACCCATGGGAAAATTCGTATCATATACTTCCTTAGTTTGAAAATTGAAACTGGTCGCATGACTGACCTTTAAAACGACATTCCAAATGTTTGTTCTTCGGATTCTTCATTCGCATTTTTTTTCCGGACGTGTGAATAAAACCAAACACTGGATGAAAATTTGGAAAATATGAAGTCTTCACTCGGTGTAATGCATAAAAATGATTAAAACTACTTCCTGTCACTTCGATCGTTCCGAATGGGAGTTTCTATTCCTTTAGGGAATACATTTTCCAACTTCATAAACATTTCATTTCATTATTATTCGCGAACATCGCACATCGCACATCGCACATTTAATTACACGAACAATGTGATATAAATAAGGGTAAAGATGAAGATATAAAATATTCAAAAAATATGTAAAACCGTCATGAACAGCGTGCACCATTGAAAATTTGCAATAGCGTTTTTCACATTTTTAGCACTACATGGAATGTAGGCTACTGTAGTTGTTTTTTGTTTTTCACAGGACAATTTTAAGAGTCTAAATTTAGGTCATTTTTTTGACCGTAAATTGATTCATTTTAATATCCATATTTTTTATTTGAAATGAAGCAATTACGCCTAATTGCAAAAATGAAATAAAATCATGTTCTTGTAATTCAATTGCCAATGTGAAATAATGTACGATGACCATTCACATTTAATGTACAATATCATCATATAAATTTATTAAATTATTTTGACAATATTAAAATGATTTGCATACTACATTCCATGTAGTGCTTATGATAATAATTTGATGAGAAACATCAAATTAATTGAACCCTTTAAATTTACAAGCTTCAAGAACGCAGAGCGGAGCGAAGCGACGATATGCAGTCTTGTTTTCTCTCTTTTCAAGGCTGTCTGAGTATGTCTGGTCCAATTATAAAATATCCACTCCAAAGTATGTGATTTGATGAATTGGATAATCTAAGCTGTGTTAAAGAACAATAATTTTTTCATATCAAACAAATGTTTTTGGATCTATGCAAGTCTTTCGGATGTGGGTTGAAAGTCAAATTATAAAGGGCATCAAAATTCATCGATGATTTATCTAGAAAAATTCTTAACGTCTGTCTGAGTCGTATCTTATTTCTAATAAATCAACATTTTTTTGTGTGGATTTTTTCTGTTTCTAATTGACTCAAGTTCCACTCAATAATTCCAGTTTTTCTTACGAATCTTGTTGTTTCTTTTGGTAAGAAGATTTGTTGCTCCAGTTTAATTGCGATCAATTTTTAATCTCGCAAATGACGAACGAAGCGAACATTTTTTACAAACCATTGCGGCGTGTTTCGTTCTGCGATGGCACACAGCCAAAAAAAGACATCTGTACGAACTGCGAAACTACGGACATGCATATCATATCACTACATACAGATGATCTGGCGAAACTATCGAAATCGCCACGCTTGAAGGTAAAAGAATCTTGATGAATTGTGAAAGAAAATATTTGAATGAAAAAATTAAAAAAAAGGAAAATGTTCTTTAGCTAGCCTTATTTTCTAGAAATGGGTCACAGCTGGTGGAAAACAGCAATCAAGCAGATTGCAGCGACAAAATACCATTGTGAACGATATTGTTACCAATTTGCGCGTGCCATCTGGAAAAGGGTCCGAATCAACTGATCCCAATGATTATGGTGTGTGCTTGTTAAAAGATTCCCCGTACAGAATTCTTCGGGTAAGTAAAATCAAATCAGTCATTAATGCATTATTTGGTCACGTTATCAAGTCAGTTATTCGGTTTATTCACTTGATTATTGAATTTGAAAATCTCTAGAAATGTTGATTTTTTTTAAACTTAGCTTTTTAAATAAAGTGAAATGAATTACCATATGAATGTAAACAAACTCCTACACTGTTTACATTGTAAATTTCTCAGACGCATTGCAACAGCTTTAATTTCCGTCTAGAAAATGCAATTTATTATAAGGTTTCTAACTCGACATATTTATTTTCCGATTGAACTTTAATTCAAAAGTCAATGGACAGTCGCCATTGCTTCGGGCTAATTAAAATCTCAATATTTCTTTTGTTGAAGTTATTGAAAAGTTTCTTTTCTGGTTTACATAGATCATTTCAAAATAAATATAAAGATATGAAAAATAGAAACTGCCACGTTATGCAAACAATCGATTGTTCAATCTCTTATTCATTGAAATATTCTTATTCATTCGGAATATTTTGCGCATTTTTTATCTTCGTCTTTGAGCTTTAGAAGATTTTCCAAACAAATGATGTTATTCAACCAAACTCGGCCAATCATTCAGTCCAACAGCTGAATATTACATTTATTCAATCATTGCGAATGCCTGGGAGCGTGACACAAACAGCCAACGATGCAGCTGACAATTCTTCAAAATTCCTATAGAATTTATTTATATAAATATATTTTATTCATAATGTCAGTCAACACTGGTTTTCTGGTATTCCGTTGATTGCTATGAAACACACCGAATAGTTGTTGAAAACAGTGACAACTTCTACATCCGGTAACTGGGTAACATCGTTGTGTATAAAATAGAAGGAAACAATTTTGCAGTGGCTTAGCTGAAATCGATGAGAATTTGTCAACACGAATCAGTGAGATCCGCATGAATTTTATGAAGATTCGTATTGACTGATAGCAATACATATGCAAGTCGCAGTGTACAAACTGTCTATACTTCCTATTAGGAAATGTATGGCATTTGTAAAAATGTGCGAATAAAAAGCCAATGACATTTCAATCAAATAGTTATTTCTCGTAGTTTTCAAAAGCAAATGAAGGACTCGTGATAATACATAAAAGTTCCGCAAGTCTTCAGATTAACATTGTTTGTACAGATTAGTCAGATTTGCACTGATTCACATGACAATAAAGCCCCTAGGTTTCAACATAAATCCATTCATTTTAGCTCTATTTTCTTTTCCTCGCACCCACACTCATTTTGTTCTGTTGATCCAAAATGGCCAAAGATGTACATTACTTTTTTTTTTAAAGTACGGTCTATAAATAGACTCGTTTAAAATTTGCGATCCAATGCAAACTCACTTCATAGTCGATTCTTCAATTGAATTATGTCAATGACAAAGTTTCGAGGAAGAGAACGGGGGAGAGACAGAGAGCGTTAAATTAAAACAAGATTTGCACTTTATTTTTTGTTTCGTAAAAATGCATAAACTTTGTTAATCGAGAGCATTTCCATATAATGTCTTAATTCGCGCTCGTTTAACCTTGTTTGCTTGAACAAGAACAAATTTTTCGGATCATAGAGCATAATCTGCATTTAGAAAATTAGCTTATGCCGTGCTTGGTGCGATACACAGCCGACAAAAACTTTTAATGAATTTTCCGTGCCATCATTTATTAGCAAAAACAAAAGAAAGGAGAAAGTGCTTTTGGAAAATGTTTCTCCATTAAATTTCATCAATTCTTTCCGAAACTATTTCATTCTCACTCCGATGGACTTAATTACCACGTTGGAAGTCAATGTGTAAAGTCAAAAATTAGCTTAGCTTAGCTTTGTGAGTTGATTGACAAATCGCCGATAGCAATTGAAAACTATCGGAAAATGTGTGACAAATGAGAAGTCATTAAATTGTCAGTTTGTGCTGTTGAATACAGGGATGAATTCGATATTTTCAAGAGTGCAATGAGAAACGGCGTGATCCATTACACACTGTTCTTGTCATGATAATTTGTATGCAAAACATAAATTACGGCACAGAGTACGAACGGAATGTGTGTGTCTGAAGAGTGTTTATTGCGCTGTTGCTCAACTGTAACATTGGCAAATAACGCGAGTACAACAATGAATACTACACTTGTAAATTTGGATTAGAAACAAGATTGGAATATAGAGCCCGCAGCATAACGTCGTACACAGTCTCTCTCTCTCTCTCTCTCTCTCTCTCTCTCTCTCTCTCTCTCTCTCTCTCTCTCTCACACTCTCAGTCTCACACGGTTAAAGGACCATTTATCATCCATGGAGCAACGCGCGCTTACACACACACATTCACTCATTCCGATGCATTGCTCGTGGTTTAACAGCTTCCCGAAACAAATCTTGGTACAAACATTGCTACTGATGCTCGCAACGCGAGATGTGTGAGTGGATGGATTGCAGCTTATAAATACACGACACCGCCATTCAGCAGCATTCAGTTACCATTTGGCGGTTGAACACCCATAATCGCTTTTTAAACGACGCTAATGATAACGACCAAATAACAGTATCAAGTGATAAAAACACTCGCCCAATCAATTTAGAACATTTTATTATGCAAATCAAATTTTGCACACATTTTCACCACAAAATGATTAGAATGGGGAAATTCTAGTGAAAATTGAATAAAGTGATGTGAAACATCCGAATAAAAAGTGAAATGTGATTTATATTTTCTGGTTCAGTTTTGCTGTGATGTCATGTGATTTGTAGAGTTTTCGATTAGAAACTTCCAAACACCAAAATTCAATTAAATGCACCAGCAGCTTACTTGGAATTTTTACATCCAATGATTACTTTGTGCTCTATTTGCTTAAACAAACAAAAAAAAATTGAAATTCGATGAAAGTGGCAAAGCATCAGGATTAAAGTGGCCAAAATTCAAATTTAAAGTGGTGATTTTGTCGTTGAACTGCTGGGCAACAACATTGAATGTGAGCGCGTATTTTTCATCGCACTGACTAGAAAGCATGCAAATCCGAAATGGACAGTCCGTTAAGTAAACCAATCCCACCGAATGCCATCAAAACGCGAGCATCAACATTTCGATGTTTTTTGAAACAACAAAGCATTACGTCCACACTATCGATTCCAATTCGCATGGCGCCGGCCTTTAGTCGTATGCTAGGCTTTGGAAATACTACCAAATTCAAAACGGAAGAATTGCTTCAGGTTATTCATTAATTCTTAATGCATCATTTTCCTGTTTTGTTAGTAACCTCAGATTGAAAACGTTTCAAAGATTTAAATCAACGCGAATCAGAGAAAAGAAAGGATTGAGAAAAAAGAAAAAAAACATTCCGTATTTATTTCATATCTGCACTTGGTTTGAAAATAAGTCAAATGAGATTTTCTTAAGGAAAAATAACAATCACTACCTCTTTGACTTTAATCCATTTCCACAGCAAAGTGTATTAAATTCCTGCATGAAACATGCACTATAACCATCCACGCTCTGACTCAATTAAGTTATTTGGCTTTGAACGAACACATCAGGGTTAATAAGCAAACGAAATTCGACCGTGATGACCTTTAAAATAAAACATGAATTATTTGTAATTCCAATCCATTTTCGATTAAGGATAAAAAAAAATACCTCAAGACAATAGCCATGATTAATGCCTATTTGGTCATCGATGTCGATAACAAAAACGCAATACTGAAATTAATCCATACAATTTATTGCAACAATGGTTTCAACCAAATTCTCCCCATGGGAACAATAAAAAACGAAACTTTGAAAGTAAATTTTTCATGTTAGGCATATAATTTTAGTGCAGGATAATAATCTATCTATAATTATAATTATTCGATATAATTATAATGATTTAATATATGAAAAAACATTTGGTATCATGTGCGATTAAAATGATAAATGTACAAGTAAAATTGAATGGTTCGCTGTCGCTGGAATTTTTCTCAGTCAAACTTTGCATTTGGCGGTTGAGTTACGTAATTTATTGTCGATGAGTATTTTTTTTCTCGCTTAACTAGAAGTATAAAAAGAGAAGTTGGAATAAATTTTATAAATTAAAGAAGAAAGGAACATTTTCAGCGAATTAAAGTGTTTTAAAATACAGAAATTTATCAATCGCTTATTAAATCTCTCCGTTTTCTTGTTGAATTCTAGCACTTTTCCCAAAATGAAGAATGAAACCGCTGAAATTAAATCAATGTTTTCGTTCAATTGTCCAAGTATGAAAATAAACGTGTGTTTTAACAAAAAGAAGATGCCCAAAAATATTCTTGACGTTAGTATTTTTGCGTATTCATTTTTACTCGTAAACGTGTATGAAAATACGTGTGAAAAATGCACGTGACGGCGAAAGCCTATTTTGTAATAGGTGATAAATGTTTAACGATTTTTCTTGAGAAACAACGATTTTTTGCCGATAATCTGCGAATGAAAATGAACCACTGTTGATTTGTGAAGCCACTTTGGTCCATAATATAGACTCTATATTAATAAAGAGTAAAAGGCCAATTAGGTCAACGAACTGTAAAAAGGTTTCTTAGATCTTTTGCACAACCTTTTTTTTGTGGCGTCAAAGCAATTTCCTTCGAAGAATATTCGACAAAAATAAATAAAAATATTTTGAATATGAAATGAATTGCGAATTTCTCAACCAATTTGCCCCTGTCAATTATGAATAGTGAAGAAATTGGCATTTTATGTGATTTTAACTTTTAATGAAGCCTTTAAACCGTTCACATTCATTTAAAACATAGGCCACACATATGGAAAAGCATGAATCGACAGAGTGTTGACTAACAGATCATCAATAGACTAGTAGTTCTTGTGAAAATTTCTATCAAAGCTCGATGTAAATGATGTTTCCCTGATTATTCGCTTGGTGAATTGCAATCTTCAATTTGATTTGCGGCTGCAAGTCAAAGAGAAATTTATAGGAAATCAAATGAATTCATTGTTAAGCTCTTTTGCTTTATTATGTCGACGTAAATAGAAGTGAAGCCTGTTGCACAAAATACACTTTACAAATGCGTAAATTCAAAATGTGAAAACATTGAATCACGAAGTGGTTAGCTGAACAACAATGGTGAAATATGTACATATATTTGTTGTGTACAACAAGCAAGAAATATTTTAACGGGGAAAGGCTAGCATTTGTGCGCCATTTGAATGGAATTTAAATTCAATTTTTACTCTATATTGGATTTACATCAAAGGATCAGCGGAAATATGCGCAAAATATTCGCTAGCTTTAGCAAATCAATTCAAACACAGAAAATGGAAATACAACACTGCGCTTAGAAAATCTTTTCATTGGTCGGGATGCACAATTCGAATCGCTTAAGTGCCAACGATTTATTTATTAAATCCTTTGCAACTTAATCCTTCAATGCAAATTGTGGGCAGAAAACTATTTGCGAACGTCATACTTTGACCGCATATTTCGAGTTTCATTTTCGAATAGATGAAGGTGTTGCCAAGGAGATTCTATTATATATTTCTAGAATGTCATAGTGGCGAACAAAAAAAATCTGAAACGACGTGAAATCTTTGAGAAAATCATAAAATTCTCAATACATTTCCACTGATTTTATTTTTACTTCTATATCATTTCTCTCGCAATATTTCGCATCAACAGGCAGCTGAATCGGGTGATTTGGAAGATTTTGTTCGATTGTATCAAGGCGATAATAGTCGTTTGATGGTAACAGATGCTCGCGGGCGTACAGCAGCTCATCTTGCAGCAGTGAAAAATCGAGTAAACATACTGCAGTATATTTATGCACAGGAAGGAAGTGAGTATGAACACATGAACGCAGTGATTTTTTTCTATTGAAGCGTTCAATCGAGAAAAAGAATGTACTTTGAAAGGAGGTGACGGAACCACACTCTATATGGTTTCACTTAATTAAATTTTTCGAAATTGATTTGACATCGATTTCAACAAAAGTTGCAATGCATGAGTTTAAAACCAACAAAATTATCGCTCTTATCGAGATTTGGAAAGAGAGTGATGAAAAGGGAGAAGTTGCTTTATTCCGCACATGTTGTGAAGCCAAACAAATGCAAATACGAAAATGCCAATCATGAAAATACCTTCAACATGCTCTCTTCTATAGATATGGACGCACAGGACGCTGCCGAAAATACACCGTTACATTTAACCGTCGAGGAGAATGCATTCGAGGCTATGGACTATTTGCTCTCAATGTACGTAAAATTTATTCATACACGCAGAGTAGTTTGATATAGACAATGAAAAACAGTTGCAATACTTTTTTTTCTTGCTGTGTTTTGTGTGTATTTGACACAGTGGCGTGAGTGCAAATGTGTTGAACGAGAAGAAACAGTCACCAATCCATATGGCTACTGAGCTGAATCGAGTAACGGCACTTAAAGTGATGGGTAATTATCGTAATATCATCGATATCCAGAAGGGGGGCGAACACGGACGTACTGCACTCCATTTAGCCGCCATTTATGATCATGAGGAATGTGCACGAATTTTGGTACGTTGGGTAAAGTGTTTTCTTTTTCATTAAAATCGTCATATCGCTGTTGTGATATATCGATAAATCAAATAAATGTTGGATTCTTTCGGAAATCACCATCCAATAAAAAAAAACTAACAGAGTGCAAAAAATAATTTCATGTTCTCAGCATCTAAGGTAGCAACATTTTTTAATCGAATGTTTCAATTTAGATGAAATCCCATCAGAAAAAAATTGGAAATTGCCATAATGAAATGATGGTTTTTTTTTAACGAAGCACAATTTAAGCTCGTGAACACTGTAGCCCCGAAAATCTTTCATATTTATTTATTTCCGAGCATCATTTTTCCCTTTCTTATACGTACCTGTTTCCAACTCAAAAGCTTCACTGTAGCAAATTCCATAATTATTCGCATACTCTAAAAAACTTTACACGTTTCCATCTCGTACTATAGTATAGCACGTTTCTTGCTGTCGTATTCTTGTTAACAGAGTATTCCATTTAGAAATCAGCGATGGAATTTGTTTTGTACATTTTTCATTTCAATTTCATAATATTTAACAGATTATTGATTATTTTTGTCATTTAACACAAACAAAAAAAATACATACAGATATCGGAGTTTGGTGCATGTCCTCGCAAACCCTGTAACAATGGCTACTACCCAATTCACGAGGCGGCTAAAAACGCCAGCTCCAAAACGATGGAGGTTTTCTTTCAGGTTTGTTTCATTCTCTATTTCAAAATTGAATGTGATTGATGTCCGATAAATTTCACAATTGTGTTATATAATAACCAAATATGATGGTATTGAATAAATACAGTCGATTGGATTCTTTCATTGTCCGTCTGAGGCAACGGATATACATCATTGGCACATCATTCGCTTGTAATGATGCAATTTGATGCAAACAAAACACTTTTATCATTCACAATGTCAATTTGTTTCGATTTTGTCGCATTTTTTTTCGGTTGTCTAGTGGGGCGAATCACGTGGATGTACACGCGAAGAGATGATTTCATTTTACGATTCCGAAGGTAACGTCCCACTTCATTCGGCTGTGCATGGCGGTGATATAAGAGCCGTTGAGCTTTGCATCAATTCTGGAGCGAAAATTTGCACGCAACAACATGACCTTTCTACTCCAGTTCATTTGGCGTGTGCACAAGTACGGTCTCACTGTTTAATTTATTTTTAAGTTTATGGTAACACGTAGCATTGCCGTGTGATATACTACTCGTCTTGTGAAATGTCTTGAACAAATAGAAACATTTCATTACATTAGATTTGTTTACGGAAAACGAACAATTGAAATAATTAAAGCAAATAAACAAATCGCAATGCAAGACATTGTGTGCGAAAATCAATGGAATGCATGATGGAGTGTGTTTATATTTCTAGGGGGCCTTGGAAATTGTCAAGTTGTGTTTTCGAATGCAGCCACAAGAGAAGAAAATTTGCCTTTCATGCACCGATGCACAGAAAATGACTCCGTTACATTGTGCCGCAATGTTTGATTATCCCGATGTTGTTTCATACTTGATTAAAGAAGGAGCCGACATAAATGCACTGGATCGCGAACATCGATCGCCATTGTTATTGGCAGCATCACGTGGCGCTTGGAAAACAGTCCTTGCATTAATTAAGCTGGGCGCTGAAATTACGATTAAAGACGTGAACCAACGCAACGTACTGCATTTGGTGATAATGAATGGCGGGCGTTTGGAAGAGTTTGCAAATGAAGTGTCCGCAACACAATTCAGTTCCCAATTACAGCACTTGCTTAATGAAAAGGACAACACCGGATGTTCAGCATTACACTACGCAAGGTACGATCGATTTTCTGTATTTGTTATGTGCGATTTTTGTAATTTTCATGACGATATTCGGGAAACTTATGAGGTTTTTTTTTATTTCTCCATTTTAGCCGAGAAGGCCACATTCGATCGCTGGAGAATCTGATCAGATTGGGTGCTTGTATCAATTTGAAAAATAATAACAACGAATCTGCATTACATTTCGCCGCCCGGTATGGCCGATACAATACGGTGCGACAGCTGCTCGACTCGGAAAAAGGGACGTTTATCATAAATGAGAGCGACGGCGAAGGCCTTACGCCATTGCATATTGCTTCACAACAGGTAAATGACATAATTTGGTTTATGAATAACATTGGAATAATCACTTTGCTATTATTTTGGTCCTATAATGAACAATTGAGAATTCTGAAATGAAAAAATGTCTTTTCAACAGGGTCACACACGAGTCGTTCAACTGTTTCTCAATCGAGGCGCACTGTTGCATCGGGATCATAACGGTATAGCACAAAACATGTTTGAACTTACTAAAACTGAAAAATTGCAAACTTTGTTTGGCGACTATACTTTCTTGCAGATAAAACTGCAAATTAGGTATTGGAATCTAATTTTTTCATGAAAAAACTAATCCATACCAAATTTAGGAAGGACACCACTGCACCTAGCGGCTGCGAGTGGATATACCCAAACCATTGAGCTATTGCATTCCGTTCATTCGCATTTACTCGATCAAATCGATAAGGATGGCGTAGGTGTTTGGTTTTTTTCCCGTTTCTTTCAAAATGAAATGCATTTTTAATTAAAATCGTTATCTTCAATGCCTTTTAGAACACTCCGCTTCATCTCGCAACGATAGAAAATAAACCAAATGCCATTTCATTGTTGCTCTCAATGAACTGTAAAATGCTATATAACTACATGGAAATGAGCGCCATTGATTATGCCATTTACTACAAATACCCCGAAGCAGCGTTGGCCATGGTCACGCATGAGGAACGCTCCGAAGAAATTATGGTGCTCAAATCCGATAAACATCCATGCGTTACGCTCGCTCTAATTGCGTCCATGCCACGAGTATTCGAAGCCGTACAAGACAAGTGCATCACCAAAGCAAATTGCAAGAAAGACTCGAAAAGCTTCTATGTGAGTATATATCTATGCCTTTGCAACCAATTTATGATAATTTTGCTCTTTGAAATTCGATATTACAATTTTGTGAATGCGTTTTTTTATTGACTCCCTATCCGAGCCTCATTTTATTAATGAATTAACTTCAATCTCGACTGGATTAATAATAATTTACATTACTCCACAAAATGAGTACTTCAACACAAAAACATCAAAATTAATCCAATGATATCACAGTTCTACCGATGGTTTTTTTTGTCTGGCACAAAAGCCGGACTAGATCAGCATTTTAGAGGGCCAAAATCTAAGAACAACTGCATTCACAGAATATTGAAATTGGCTCAACTTTTTTAAATATCAAATTCGGCGTTTTACCTTTCCACCAGTATTAAAATGCAAAGAGGTATTGAACAAAGACCATTTTTCTCCCATTAGAGATGGTTTTATAGCCTTGGTATGTGTTGAGAAAATGTTTGGAGTTCGATTTTAGGCGGAAGTAGTAAAAAACTAAACCCAAAAATTACATCTGGTGGGAGCCATGGGGCAAAATGTCGAAAAAATAGTCAATTTTTCCAGTTTTTCGACCAAAGCTCGAGCAGTATACATTTTTTCACTCACTGTGTTCGGCAATATTGTAGCCAGAGTATAGCTGAGCAACACTTCTCAACACATCAACTCGAAAAATCCACATCCATTAAATGGCTCCGGGCAACTCTGAGTGATGAAAAACTCTACTAACTCGTGTTAAATATTCTGTTTTGGACCGCAGTAAACATTTGTGACCGGTGATTGAAGTTTGAATCGAAAAGGTTATGGTTTAAAGATGTTACAATTTCATAGGTTACACTGGTCATTTTTCGATTCAAATTTCAATTTTCGAGATAAGTGCCGGTCACTAATGTTTACTACGGCCCAAAACAGAGTATTTAATACGAGTTGGTAGAGTTTTCCATCACCCAGAGTTGCCCGGAGCCATCCAAAGTGTTTAAAACAATTTAGTACTTTTTAGTACATTTTTATAACATTTTTAGTACTTTTTAGTACTGGGCCTGCAAAGCTCTTGAGGAGTACTAAAAAGTTCTTTCAGACACTATTGCTCTATTTTAATCAGTTGAGAAGTTGCAGGACTTCGAAAATGCACGAAAATACCGTTTAATAGCGAAAAGTGATTTTGAGACAATAAAGTGGAGTGGATGTGGATTTTTCGAGTTAATGTGTTGAGAAGTGTTGCTCAGCTATACTCTGGCTACAATATTGCCGAACACAGTGAGTGAAAAAATGTATACTGCTCGAGCTTTGGTCGAAAAACTGGAAAAATTGACTATTTTTTCGACATTTTGCCCCATGGCTCCCACCAGATGTAATTTTTGGGTATAGTTTTCACTAGTTTCCGCCTAAAATTGAACGCCAAACATTTTCTCAACACATACCAAGGCTATAAAACCATCTCTAATGGGAGAAAAATGGTCTTTGTTCAATACCTCTTTGCATTTAATACTGGTGAAAAGGTAAAACGCCGAATTTGATATTTAAAAAAGTTGAGCCAATTTCAATATTCTGTGAACGCAGTTGTTCTTAAATTTTAGCCCTCTAAAACGCTGATCTAGTCCGGCTTTTGTGCCAGACAAAAAAAAACCATCGGTAGAACTGTGTATGTAATTGAGGGAGAGTAAAAATGAAGAAAAAAAATATTGACCAATTGGTGAAGATCATGAATTTTTTTTTTTAAATAAAGCTCTATGACGCCAGCTTCGATTATGACTGATATTGTGACTCACTTCATGACTCAATTGTAAAACAGTGATTCACTTTTCCGAAAAGGACTTATAGAGCTACATTCATACGAAAAAAACAAATTGGATTTCATGTACTTGCCATGGGAATGTAGCAAAATTAGGCGTCAATGACAGAGCTGTTATAGGCACTGCAAAAGTGCGGGCACTTGAATCGGTGCGGCACCGAGCTTTTTTGAAAGTATAATTTTTGAGTTTTTTTGAAAATTTTCAAATTTGCTAGTTTTTTAAAGAAATAATATGATTTTATATTGCTGATAAAAATATGAAATTATAATTTATCGAAATTTATTTTTTGTGATTGTACTAGGTGCGGCACTCAAAATCTAAGTGCCGGCACCGATTGGGTGCCTATAACAGCTCTGGGCGTCATAGAGCTAAAAAATAAATAATAACGAAAACACTCTTTCGACGGGTGTTGAAAACTCATTAATATTCAGATCAAGTATTCATTATCGTGTTTGCAATGTCCCACGATGTATGCACAAATGGATGAAAAAACTGGTGAAGCACTTCAGATATCAAAGCCAATACCATTGCCGGCGCTCAATGTAAGATGCTGCGTTCTTGATTTCAAACTTTCCTGTGAATGTCAATCGGTTTTTTTTCAGTGTGTATTTGTTGATACTTAGTTTGCTTGCTCGAGATGAGACAAAACTTTTGTTTTCAGTTTATGTTTGAATTGGAGCATGAACACTTTTGACGCTGGTCAGATTCGTCCAATTTTTTTTTCTTTTAGTTCGAAACGAATGCTATCTATGGAACTCTAATTTATCATATCCATTTGCATGTGACGATAACAAAGTTTTTCTTTTCTTGAATAAAAGTTGATATCGATTGTCCACATTACTTTCATAGAATATTTCGTTGGAAATTTATCGATCGATTCTTTATTTGTTTATTCGGTATTTTCTATTAGTTGTGTTTTTTATGTCTTTGCCTGCTTTATAGATCAAGTACAATTTTCATAGTTATCATTGCTCCAAAGCCAAAGTATTGGCTATACGACAAAGCATGAATGATATGACATGGACACCGCCACCATTACAAGTTATCAATGTGAGTAATCTGTGTTTTAGTTATCATTTTGAATGGTTCTGAATTTGTATTTTATGGTACGTTTAGTTAATTTGTGCCTTAGTCAAATTGATTGCTTGGATTTATTATTAATTTTTTCCTTTATTCTGAGCTATATGATATGTTACTCAGTTGTGTTGTGTGTTTTGCATGCTTTTCTTCGTTCAATAACAAAATATTCAATTGAAAATGACCGAAATCGAGTTTATTACATTTTGTTCACTCCCATTGTAGGCAATGGTTACTCACGGCCGTGTTGAGCTCCTCGCACATCCACTCAGTCAAGTATATCTTGTCATTTATAATTTAATGATCGATGTCTCTCGATCGAGATAATGACGTTTATTATCATTCCAGAAATATTTGCAAATGAAATGGAATGCCTATGGGAAATATTTTCATGTCTGCAACTTATTGATCTACACCGTCTTCTTGTCATTTGTCACCATTTATGCATCTCATCTAATGCAAAGTGTTGATACAAATGAATCCATCGTTGATTCGTCAGCACCATTGAATTCAAGTGATGAAGTGAGTTTATTCATGTTTTTTTCTTGTTTTTTGAAATTTTGTTGTTTTTGGGTTTTCATTTCAAAATTGATCTTCTCATTTATATACATTTATGCTCTATTATCTATAAACATAGCCATACGCAGCACGATTGTCACACCCAAGAACCATTTTCAATTCAGCTGATGTTTCCAGTCAAGCATTCATCGATAAGCAAATCAATGTTTCAACTATGATGATGGTGTCTGGCCTTGCGATCATCGTTTATATCGTGTGTAGTACGATGCGAGAATTTCTTCAAATCTACCAACAAAAATGGCAGTACCTATTTGAACCGAACAATTTCATTTCGTGGATGCTGTACATTTCGGCTGGAATCATGGTGTCGCCAATTTTCAGCGGTCATATTTCAGATTGCCATTTTTCCGCCACGTCATTAACGGTTTTTCTGTCTTGGTTCAATTTGCTTCTGTTTTTACAACGATTTGATCAAGTAAGTCATAGAATGCAGAGAAAATGTTTGCAATTCCCATAAAAGGTCTACATTTGGTACTTATGTCAAATATATTTTTCCTTATTTTTCTTAGGTTGGCATTTATGTGGTGATGTTTCTAGAGATTTTACAAACATTGATCAGAGTGTTGATGGTATTTTCCATATTGATCATTGCATTTGGATTGGCCTTTTACATAGTTTTGTCTAAGTCGAAGGTAAAAAAAATGTCTGAATCAACTCAAAAAATCCAAAGTCGTAAAATAATTTGCGATTTCCTTTTTCACAGATGTCATCAGCACAAATGTCATCGAGTCAATTGGCATTTTCAACCATTCCAATGTCATTGGTTCGAACTTTCTCGATGATGCTCGGTGAAATGGACTTTGTTGGCACTTATGTCCAACCGTTCTGGCTTCATGAGCTTCCATTGCCAATATCATCCTTTTTACTGCTATGTAAGACTTGTTTCTCATTTTCGCAAGAATTTTTAACTAATTGTTGTGCTATGCAAAGGTCTCTTCATGATTCTGATGCCAATATTGTTGATGAACTTACTGATTGGTCTGGCTGTGGGCGATATTGAATCGGTTCGCCGAAATGCACAACTCAAGCGTTTGGCAATGCAGGTTGTCCTTCACACCGAACTTGAACGCAAATTACCACAAATGTGGCTGGAGAGAGCTGACAAAAGTGAGCTCATCGAGTATCCCAACAGTCAAAAGTGCAAATTGGGCATGTTCGATTCTGTACTCCGAAAATGGTTCTGTAATCCATTCAACGACGAAAGTAATTTCACTTGATTTTATTTAAAGAATTTTCCTTCAGAAAGAAATACGAAACAATGAAAAAATCTTTGCTTCCAGACAACATAGACATGGGTTTTGAAACAACGGACGAGATTTTGGCCGATGAATTGGAAAAACAACGACGTAAATTAAATACAATGGCATCAACTCTGGAACAACAACATCAAATGCTGCGACTCATTGTGCAGGTTCGTTAATTCAGTTTTTTTCCATTTCAAATTCCAATTTTGTCTTTGTTTCTATAAAATCTCTAATGAAATTGCACCTTCAATTTCAGAAAATGGAAATAAAAACGGAAGCGGATGATGTGGACGAAGGAGTGTCACCAAATGAATTAAGAGTCTCTTCAGCGGTCAGCCCAACTGGTGGACCATCGCGTTGGACTTCTCCACGTATCCGCAAGAAATTAAAACACGCCAAGAGCTTTAATAAGAGTGCATAAAACTAAATTAATGTCGTTAACAGTACAACGATTCTAAGTACAGGCGAGTCGCAATTGTTTCAACCATTTTGATGCTATGCAATTTTAACCAATTGGTGCGTGATGTTTTTCATTACAAACAAACAATCGGGAAGTGAAACAATCGACACTCGCCTGTAGTCGCGGATGAGATAATTCATTTTGCCGTTTGCAGGACAACGATCTCTTAAAATTATCATTATTTTGTGTCTTCACTCTACCAAAAACTGATCTATTTTGATGGAAAAACAAACTAAAGTCAATTTTTTGCACACAATTTTAAATATTCACATATTTATCACAAATAAAATGTTTAATGTGTGATTGTTACCTTTAATCCCCCAAAAACTGGAATTGGAGCTGTGTTTTTTCCACATTCCCTGAAGAATTTAACTGAATTTAACAAAAATCTAATGATGTTAGCTTTATTTTCAATAAAGAACCATTGATATATTATTTTAACTGGACAAACCGTTTTTAGATTTCATTTCACTTCCTTCTCATTGATCTCTTGAAAAAAAAGATCTGTAATTAAATAGCCAAAAGTAAGAGAATTGGCTTCAATCAAGGTAAACCAGTAATATTCACAAAAAAAATCGAATAAAACACGGTATAAAATTTCATTCTCATTGCTTCTGTTCGTTTATTTGAGCATACGCAAATAAATTTGGGATATATTTTTAGTGCAAATGATGTTTCTCTATTTTCGAATCAATTTGATCTTGTGTTATTTTTTGTTTCTATAAATATATGTCCTAACGCATACAATGTCGAATTGCATTCCGGATGTTTTGATGTTTTCCTTATGGCATTTGTGCTAAAGCCGATAAAATACAATGTGGTCAGGAAATCAGAATGACAATGGAATTTTGGCAATTGCGCTCAAAATTCATCTCTTCTTTAGATTAAACATGTCGAATGGCCGAACAATTCAATCATTTGGCTTCTATATAAATTAGTTCTCTCTTTTTCTCGTAGAAATTACGTAAAGCATCTAGAAAAATGATTTCAATGAAATTCTCGGATAATTTGGATTCAAATCTTAAAATTCATTCGATATACGTGCAACCCAGAAAACACATCGGGTGTTTGAATTTTTTTCTTCTCAAATGTCAGGTGCTTTTAAACTCTTAAATGTCAGCAGTCAGTTAGTTGTCATAGCGATAGAATTGATCAATGTAGGAAGGGGTGTTTTGGTGAAACTTCACACGGCCGATGCAACCCATTTCATTTTATTTTTCGATGGCATCGTTGTGTTGTTTGTCGGTGTGGGCAGATCGAAATGATAAAAGTTGCACTCCACCTTATTAGTACAGCTCTTTCCGAATTTGCACGGCTTCGGGTGATAGAATTCGCACAGCGTATTCGAGCAGTTCGGATAGAAGCGGCATAGTGTGGGCAACGGTGTGGTTACGATCTTTTTGTAGTTGGTAACGGGCACAACATGTGAGGCTACGGAAAATAAATGTGGAGTAAATCATTAAAAGCTCGAAAAATCAACGGAAAACTCGATCAATTTGAAAAATGATTTCAAAACTGAAACTTCAGTGGAATCGGAATGGAACTTACCCAGAGGTGGTGCGGCGCTCACAACAGGTGTATGAGTGAAGTTGCAGTCGAGGCGGGAGCATGTTAAATCAAACTTACATTTTGGATGAATGTATAGACAAATGTCACCGTATTTGCAATTGGGGAAGGCTTTGCATGGTGTCGTCGGATGATAATAGTCGCAACGCTCACCTCGCGTACATGACGGATAGAATTTGCAGCGCTCTTTCTTTGCTACTTTGTTTTCGTTTGATGTTACCGTTATGGCACTAGAAACTGATATTACAATAAAAGTTACGATTAAAATCCAATGCACTATGCGTTCCAAAAATAACTCTGAATTCCAGGAATAATAACTTACGTGGAGGCAGGTTGTCGTATTTATTTTGGCTGCTTGTTTTTAGCGTGCGGATTTTCGATGTAAATTCATTACTGTCACGTTCACGTGATTTGCTATGATTATCACGTCTACGGTTATCATCCCTGTCCGGGCTCTTTCTGTGCTCATTTTCGTTACTTCTACGCTCTGCACTCCGTGAACGACGCTTTTTCGGCGGTTCGGAAGTAGCTTCGGAGTTGCGGTCACTGATGTCAAACTTTATCGGCGTTCGTTTGCGTTTTAACGATGATGATTTACTGCTATCTTCAACCGCTTTACGAAGTTCATTCTCATTTTCCGTCTCTGCTGACCGTCGATTGCCAATTCGGCTTGTGATTGGTGTTCGTTTGCGTTCATCCATTTTTGCATCCGGCTTAATGACACGTGGAGTATCCTTCTGTGGTAGTTGTTTCTTTGCCGGGAAGCCCAGTGAATCCAGTGTGACGACGAATTGGGTTTTTGGCCCTAGACTGTCTTTTGATCTAGGTATGCGAAAAAGAAGAATAAATATTATTGAATAAGGTCATTATAATGTGAGTTAAAAATGATTGTAGTTACCCATCATTGTGAATAGCTTGAGGTATGTAAACAAAAGCATCGTCGTCAATCGATTCAGATTTTGGGACGTATTCTTCCTCCTCTTCTTCTGCTGCTGTCTCTAATTCGTCCACATTTGTGCCATCGATCGTTTCGGTTTCGTCGGCGGCAATTTCAACAACAATATTACCCTTTTGGAGTTTGTTACGGAACGATTTGGTGTACAGTTCCTTCGTATTCTTCTCCGTTGCCTTAAATTCCCGGGCTACTGGTTTGACGAGTGCCGTGGACTTTTGTGCTTCAGCCACCGCACGCAACAGAAGATTTTTACTTGCCTGTTTACTTCTTGGAATCAGTGGTCGTGGTTTGACTTTAACTACTGAACTAATCGGTACTTCGATTTCATCCTCAACGTACTCCGGTTTGGCTGGCGCAACAATGACTTTGGATCCCATTCGATTGGTCGCTGATGTCAGTTTCTCTTCACTTTTATTGATTCCACGCGATGAATCGCGATTGGTGCGACCTCCACGGAGTTCAACATCACGTTCTTTCTGTCGTACTTTTTCACGCAAGTCCCTTGGTTCGCGTAAGTCTCTTGACTCGCGTGTATCCCTGTGATCACGTAAATCTCTCGGTTCTCGTGAATCTCTTCGTTCGCGTGACCGTTGATTATCTCTACCCAGTCGACTTTCGATTCGTGATGACCGTCTCGAATCTGTATTTTTAATGGGGCTTCGTTCACGAATCTTCTCGGGTTCCGATCTCTTCGGAATCGCCGCTTGTTCGGTTGTTCGACGATGTGCTGGCACATAAATGGCTTGCTCCATACGCCGATGTGCCGATAAACTAATAATATTTTTATTTTTCTCAACTTGTTCACCTTTGCCGGCTTCATTATCGCCTCTCGTTCCAAGCCGATTCAAAATGGATTGTTTCTTCGACGGTGAACCTATTTCTGTATCTCGTGTCTCATCGAAGGTGATTTTTGCATGTGTTTTTGCCTCATTCACCTTTTCTGCTGTCGTTTCATTTGATTTTGCTTTTTCGATGGCATGCTCTTTACTGTTGTTACTTAATTCGCCATCGAAATCCAATTTTTCAGCTCCTAAATTAATGAAATCCTCATCATCCGACTCGTCAGTCATGTGACGCAGTTGCCGCTTGGCCTGATCGATTTTCTTTTGTAGTTCGGCCAATTCGGTGATTTCTTTTCTACAGACAACCGCTCCAACAGCCTTCTTGGCTATCTCCGATATCGTCGGGATGTCGAAGCCATCATTTGTCGTTCCACCATTTCGTTCTGCTTTCTTCACGCTCAGCGGAGGTTCAATGACCTTCTTGGCTTTTTGAATTAAATGATCGGCAAACACATCGGTGATTGACGTTGATGTACTTTGAATGGGTGGTGTGGTCGATCTCACCGGTGATTTATCGGGAGTTTTACCACGTTTCTTTGGTTTTACCTTTTTATCTCGTTTTTCAGTCGTGGACGATTCGCTGGTCTTACGCTTTGACTTTTGAACTGTGAAACAAATGAAATGTTCAGCTAAAGTAAAAAAAAAATTGAATTAAATGAGGTTAAAGTTCATACCGTTTGGTGGCAGTGTGACTTCTTGCAATTTCTCCAGCACTTGATGCAACCAACTGACAAATGTGTCTGTGTTTTCTTCCAAAAACAAACCCAAATCGTCAATCATCTGTTCTTTTGATCGTTTATTTGCCACCATAATCATAACGTAATCCGGCAACTCATCGTCAATGTAACCGGCAGTACCTGAGCCCAATTCGACGAGCTTTGCTTTCACAGCACTCTAAATGAGAAAAAAAAACAACAAAAACATTGATATCGATTAGTTCAAAATCGTTGTAACATTGCAAACTGTGTCACACATGATAACCGAATCGCAGATTTCTACCAACACATAAACAAATGACTCAGAATGCATTTATCGCTTATTGATGCAAAATCAATAAACACCTCAAAATGAATTCACAATTCGATAACTCACCCTCATTTTATTGCCAACTTCGGATCCTAATCCGTCCATTTTTTAACGCGTGCGTGGTGTTCAAGTCGACAAATTGAATAAAAATCTTATTGACGATACTATAACCACTGTTTTGATGAATGCACTACTCTTATTTTAAGAAATTAAAATATTGAATTGAATCAACAATCGTACTTTTGCGTGTGGAACGAATAGAAATTGTTCCAGTTGACAAAAGACCAACTCTAATAGAATTTTAATGACTTCGGGTCTTTTGACAGTATGTCGATGTGGTTGCTCAATATTCCGCTACAGCAGAAAATGGCGCTGCCGGCATAAAAAGCACGACTCACGCGATTTGCTTAAACGTTCCAGCGATGATGATGCAGAAATTTACAGTTTCATCGTGTTTTACTGCACAAAATTGAATAAATTTTTTAAAAATTGTATTTCAAATATTTTACTTTAAAGTCTCTGAAATTAAAAAATATATATACTCATACTGGCGAATTACTCGTACTGAATTCCGTGACTACCTTCACGCCATACATTCAACTGGCTTTGACAGATTGCTTTGGTGTTTTCAAAAGTTGTCTATTCGCAACTGTTTTTATAAGCCAAGCTGTACTTATTCTCAATCATGCTCAATGGCATTGTAATTTTCAGTGATACTAATTAAAATAAAAAAAGCCACAAAAAGAAACTAGTGTTTCATTACATTTTTCACTATTTGAATAAAAATGTCGTTCCCAAATTCGAAGCGTATTTCAGACATCGACTATCAAACGCCACTTCGCACGTATGTACTGCAATCACAAAAGAACAAATGTTTACATTTTGATTGTTTGAACATTGAATGAAAAATAAAATCTCCTCTATCCTTCGAAATAGGTCGGTATCGGAATCATTTACTAAAAAGTGAGTGTGATGTTGAAATAAAATCCGTGAATTGAACTAAACGAATTTTTCGGAATATTTTTACATTTTTCTAGGGATTTGTTACCGAAACGAATATCGGAGCTGTCACCGCTCGAATCATCTGACGATGAAGATCAAGGGTATTTCAAGTGTAACACGATTTTCATCGTTTTTACTAAACAATTTCCTCTTTTTCCATTCATAGGCCAAACAATGCCTTTTTGAATGATTCATTCATTGAGTCGCCGATGGATAAATTGAAGAACAATAGTGAAAATAATCAAAATGCAATCAATAAGAAGACCGATTTGATTTTTAGTGCAAGTAATTTGCCGTCAATCAAAGAAAAGGGTGAAACAAGCGCTGAAAATACTGGCAAACGAGATTCGACGTCGCGTCAATTAAATTTTGATGATCCTGATGGGGATGTTGTGAACAAAAAGGAGCCAGACCGACCGAAAATTTCGCTATTCAGCAAACTCCAATCGAATGACACCACCAGAAAATTAAGCGAATCCGTCACGGCTCGTGTGTCCGATGCTTCATGGAAAACGAAAACGGTTGAAGTCAAAAGTGCGGACAGTTTGAATGCACCACTTGAAGCGCTTGCCGTCAAACAGACTAGTGTGGCTCCAACAAAGACCATCGATTCATTGGTACATGAACCGAAACTGTGCACCGAACAACAAACACCGAAAGTAAAATCAGCAGATCGAGATAAGTCAAGGAATGCAGCTCCAAAACCAAATCCAGATGATGAAGAAACTCCGTACAAAGGGTTTCAAATGCCACCAACATTAACTATGCGCCGCGTACAATCGACCTCACAGCATCGAACGATTTTATCATCGGCTAGCCAGACGAAGAAATGCCGTTCCGAATTGGAAAATGAATTTAAATCACAGAAAGTTCTTTTCCGCACACCATCAGCTGTTTCACGGCCAGCCATGAAAGTCATGAATCATTTGGGATTGGACGATTCGTTGAACTGTTATCAGTCATCGCCAATGGCAAATCTGTCGCCAGTTAAAGAAGAACGGAATAAAGACCTTAACCATTCCACAAATGAACTAATTGCCAATGACTTGTATCGATCGACTGATAAACTCGACGGCGCAAAAGACGTTGCGACAAAAGAGGTCCTTAAATCAAGTGCCACTTTAAGTGACAGTGCAGACACAAAGAAAACGATAACCATCAATGGCAAAGACTTTGTAATACAAAGCAAAATTGGCCAAGGTGGTTCCAGTTCAGTATTTTTAGTAGAACACAAAGATACCAAACTTCCGTGCGCGTTGAAGGTAATTTGATTTAAATCAAAAGATTGTTTTTTGAATCGAAAATTTGGGTTCAGAAAAGTATAAATATGGCATTTGTTTAATTTTTAATTATACAAACCCATTTAAAATGATTGATTTTTAGGTGGTCGATTTGCGTGGTGATCCGGCTTTGATTGAAGGCTACATTAAGGAAGTGAAGATTTTAGCCATGCTTCAGGATAAATTGAATGTGATTCGATTGTACGAATAGTAAGTTAATTTCCAAAATCAACCATTCTCAATTTGTATATCGATGCTCAATCATTTTTGGTTTTTCAATTAAAGTGCCCTAATTTCATCGGAAAATCTTCTGTACATGGTAATGGAGAAAGGTGATTCTGACCTTCGGAAAATATTACAAACATACAACTCATCGCTGCCGCTCTACACACTGATGTCTTATTGGCATCAAATGCTTGAATCCGTCGGTTATATCCATAAGAAAGACATCATTCATTCTGACTTGAAGCCAGAGAATTTTTTAATGGTTCGAGGACGATTGAAGCTCATTGACTTTGGGATTTCAAGTAAAATGGCCGTTGATGCCACATCGATAATCAAGCATTCTCAAGTTGGCACATTCAACTACATCAGCCCCGAAGCACTAATGGATACATCGACCGGCAACAGTCCGATATCAAAGAAGCATCAACCGAAAATCAAAGTGAGTCACATTAAAAGCAATGAAAGAGTCAAGTTGGTGGACACACATTTCGAATATTTTCATTGAGACACAGAATCACCATATATACATAGACATTTGAATTGTAAAATTCTTGGAAAAAATTCACTTTTCATTTTCGATTCTTAACATTTCATCACATTTCGTATTGTTTTTCTCTGCAGATTTCACCAAAGTCCGATGTATGGTCTCTTGGATGCATTTTGTATTTGCTGCTGTACAAAAAGACGCCATTCGCACATATCAAAAATATCTACGCTAAAATGCAAGCGATTATCAATCCAAGTAAAGAGATCGAATATTCGAAACTACCAAACTACTATCCGTCAATGCTACTAGAGGTATAGAAACGAAAAAAAATCAGCTGGCGGTGAAAATCTGGACATTGTTTCATTGTTGTTGTTTATTTGCAGATGGTGCAGCTGTGTTTGAAACATAATCCAAAAGAACGAGCATCTGTAGCGGATCTATTGAAATTTCCTATTGCCATGGTGATACCTATCAACAATACAGAGAAATAACATTCTGTTTGTAGCTTTATCCACCGATTTTATACACTAGAAATATAACAATCGTATTAAATTGCAAGTATTGCTTTAATTTGTATTGTATAAAACATGAGAGATATCATGAATAAGCCATAGAGTTTGGGTTTATTTTACTGTTTTGGTGAGAGAACTATTTTATAATTTATGTTATTGAATCATTTTGAATAGCACCACATGAATGCTTCGAAGGAAATTGTTAGCTGGTTCAAGAGTGTTTGTATGCAGAAAGTTGAATAAGTGGAAAGGCCGAGCGTTTATCAAATCAATCAGAATAATCTAGAATAAAATGAATAATGGGAATTCAAACACATGGAGATTTTATTTATTTTTTGTTTGTTTCGTTTGATTTATTTGGAATGATCGAATTCTAACTGGATGATTTTCAGTTGATTACATTCTTGTAAATAGGATTCGAAGCAAGTGAAGATGCGATTACTTAAAATTACAAATAGGCTGTTGTGACAGTGCTTAAATGCTTAATCGACTTCTTCGATTGTTGGGCCACCAGCACCACCAGCGCCTGGAGCGGCACCACCGCCTGGAGCGCCCGGGAAACCGCCTGGCATACCGCCAGCGCCTGGAGCACCACCGGCTGCACCATACAACTTGGTGATGATTGGATTACAGACTCCTTCAAGCTCCTTTTGACGGTGTTCGTATTCTTCTTTTTCGCCCAATTGATTGGCATCCAACCACTTGATGGTTTCGTTGCATTTTTCAAGGATGGTGTTGCGGTCAGCTTCAGAGACTTTGGCTTTGATGTTTTCTTCATCCAAAGTGGATTTCATGTTGAAGCAGTATGATTCCAAACCGTTCTTGGCAGCGATTGTTTCCTTTTGCTTCTCATCTTCTGTACGGTACTTTTCGGCTTCGTTAACCATGCGTTCGATATCTTCTTTGCTCAAACGTCCCTTGTCGTTGGTGATGGTGATCTTGTTTTCTTTGTTGGTCGACTTTTCCAAAGCGGTAACGTTCAAGATACCGTTGGCATCAATATCGAAGGTGACTTCGATTTGTGGAACGCCACGTGGTGCTGGTGGGATACCAGACAATTCGAATTTACCCAATTGGTTGTTGTCCTTGGTCATTGCACGTTCACCTTCGAAAACTTGGATCAACACTCCTGGTTGGTTGTCCGAGTAGGTGGTGAATGTTTGGGTTTGTTTGGTTGGGATGGTTGTGTTACGTTTGATCAACACGCTCATCACACCACCAGCGGTTTCGATACCCAACGACAATGGAGTAACGTCCAACAAGAGCAAGTCTTGAACGGCTTCCGATTTGTCACCGTGCAAGATGGCGGCTTGGACAGCAGCACCATAGGCAACTGTAAGTCAAATGTGAAAAGTACACTCATTAGTACAACTGAATCGATTTTTTCTTCTTCAAATTAAAATGAAAAATCAAAGTCAAACAAAAGACATGGATAAAGAGAGATGAGAGAATGAATTGACACCTACCGGCTTCGTCGGGGTTGATTGATTTGTTGAGTTCTTTGCCGTTGAAGAAGTCTTGCAACAACTTTTGAACCTTTGGGATACGGGTTGATCCACCGACCAAGACGATGTCGTGAATGCTGCTCTTGTCCAATTTGGCATCACGAATAGCCTTCTCGACTGGGTCCATTGTGGCACGGAACAAGTCGGCGTTCAATTCTTCGAAACGAGCTCGAGTGATCGATGTGTAGAAGTCAACACCTTCGAACAATGAATCGATCTCAATGCTGGCTTGAGTCGATGATGACAAAGTTCTCTTTGCACGTTCGCAGGCGGTACGCAAACGACGCAATGCACGCTTGTTGGATTCCAAATCCTTCTTGTGCTTGCGCTTGAACTCCTGCACGAAGTGGTTGACCAAACGGTTATCGAAATCTTCACCTCCCAAGTGAGTGTCACCGGCAGTTGATTTCACCTCAAAGATACCATCATCGATCGACAGAATACTGACATCGAAGGTACCACCACCTGATCAATTCAAGGAATTCAAGGAAAGAAAATGAAAGAAAAAACCATTTTATTAGCAAATTGATCGCATGAAATTGTATGCCAAATCATAGTTCGATGGAAAATCGTTCGAGAAATAATTCTTTTCTATCTAAAATGCGACGCTTACCCAAATCGAAGATCAAAACATTGCGTTCTCCGACGGCCTTCTTGTCCAACCCGTAGGCAATGGCGGCGGCAGTTGGCTCGTTGATGATACGGAGCACATTCAAACCAGAAATGGTTCCGGCATCTTTGGTTGCTTGACGTTGCGAATCGTTGAAGTAAGCTGGCACTGTGACGACGGCGTCAGTGACAGTTTTGCCCAAGTAAGCTTCGGCGGTTTCCTTCATCTTGGTCAAAACCATGGATGAGATTTCTTCTGGGAAAAATTGTTTTTTTTCGCCCTTGTATTGGACTTCAATTTTTGGTTTGGTGTCAACATTCTTAACTTCGAATGGCCAATGTTTCATATCGGCTTGGATGACTGGATCGTCGAATTTACGGCCAATCAAACGCTTGGCGTCGAAAACTGTGTTGTTTGGGTTCATGGCGACCTGGTTTTTGGCAGCATCACCGATGAGACGTTCGGTATCGGTGAAGGCAACGTACGATGGTGTGGTACGGTTACCTTGATCGTTGGCGATGATTTCAACCTTTCCGTGTTGGAATACACCGACGCATGAGTACGTGGTACCCAAATCAATACCAATAGCTGGAGCTTTAGCCATCTAAATTTCAGTAAAAAAAATAGTAAAAAAGAACCGTTAAAATCAAACAAAATTTCATTGAATCAACTAAATATAGCAATTTTAAATCATCGAACAAGTAAAAAAGCATACGCGTCATTAATCAAAGCAAAGGAAAAGGAAAAAAATATCCAGAACACGACCGATAAATTGAACGAAATGAAAAATGACAACTTTTGGCAAAAAAAACCTAGAATTTGTGCGTTAATCCACGTGTCCATCTAAAAATTAATCTCATGTTTTCCTTCACAGACTACTCTTATTAAAAGTGAGCGATCTATTTTTGGAACCGTTACATTGAATTTTTCTAATTTGAACAAAAAAAACGGAGTTGAACACAAGAGAGAAAAGTCCAATGACGCAACGTCAACCCAATTTTATTTCATGCGACGGAACGTGCGAGTGTGAGTGCGTTTGTGTGTGTTTGATGGCCGGTGCTTGTTCACACACAAGCGGTATTGTTTGGATGAAAAAAAGAATGACAAATTCGTTAGAAAGCGTGGCATCGTTCTTCTGCTGTTGCTAACCAACGTAATCAGTATTGGCTGGTTCTAGTATTTTCCATTTGGTTTTCGGTCGTCGGAATGACGCAAAAAATAACGAGTATTTTGCGTTTACATGATTTCAATATGTGTATACACATTGTGTATGCAACAATGACGCAATCAATTTCGCTTTCAACGGTTTTTTCCCTTCTCTTCTAGAATTTGTTTATTTATAATTAAAGAATTGGTGCTCGGTTACTGTGCTCGAATGAGATAAGAGGAAAGTTTGGGAGCGCAATAAAAAAAGTCTCGAAATTACTCGATGATGATTTTTGGTTTTTGTTTGTTCGAATTGCGTTTAATGGTGGTTCACCAACACTTAAGATAAGCGCGTTGTCTAAACATTTATTCTAGATTTTTCTGTCAAAGTCATTGTGTATAAACGTTTAAGTATCAAAATAAACGAATCACGAAACGCCGGATTCGCGATAAATTGAATTACGGGTATTTTTAGAATGAAGCAAAAAGCCCCGCAATAGTTTTTGTTGCAATGTCCTGATATTGATACTTTGCTAATTTAGCGCTGCACTTACGCAGCGCGCACTGAAATGCCAGTGACTCGGATTGACCTATTATTTTGAGCGGTTTGATTTTGGTATTTTCCAATTGATTCCATCGAAAGATGGCTGGCAATGTGTAAGAGAAGACGAAAAATTGCTGACTCAACGAAATGATGTCAATGTGAGTTTCGTACATTCCAAAGCAAACATGCAACTGTTTTTTTTCTCGACCCAAATAAGGACTTGCGAACAACCAATCATTGAATCTAACTAAATTAATTTAGTTCGAATGTATCAAACAAAATTGAAATGAGAAATGCAAATCCTTTTGTGTAAGCGAAAAAAGTCTGTGGGATTCCTTTTGAAATTCAACGCTACCACTTGAATCACTTTAATTGCATTATTCATACAAATTCTAGACGTTTGTGTTAAGGTCAATGCAAAACGAACGAGTTTCATGTAATTTCAACATGTTTGGTAATATGACTTTGAAAAACGATTTTATTGGTCGCATTACGATGACAACAACAGATGGAATGTTTCATGGAAAACTTACATTTTTCTCTTTTTCGTTTCACTCGGTAGCTTGGATAAATTTCACTTGAATCACTTGTCTCAAATAAGAATCACAAATGAAAAGCTCTAGGTATTTTTCTTCCTTACTGTAACTTGAGTAGTGCATACACTTTCGAAATCAATGAATGAATAAGTAGGATTGTATGACACTCGTTATTTTATATTGCATTCGAAATTTCGAAAATGAACCTTCTAGATGCTTCGATCGTCGCTTCTGTCAACGAAATTATTCCATAGCTTGCTTGTGCTTTTCTATAGGCGCGAAACCAATGCGTCGCTTGTTGAAATATTTTCGAAGTGAAGAACCGTTGTGTGAATTATCACGGGCGATCACCGTTGAAAAAGTGATTGGAAAATGTGTTTGTTCAATTGTTAGAATGATAATCGGCAATATTCAAATGAAAATGTTCAGCCGAATGGTAAAAAAATATGAAATTCATCATTAGAATTTGATTTATCTTCAAATTCGAAATTTCTCGAAAAGAATAGGAATAGTGGCAAATGCCAGCAGATGGAGCCATCGTTTGTCGCATTGAAATCGAACCAAGCACACACAGACATACACACTGAAGACGAGCTAGACTGGAGTAGCATTGCGGTGAAACACATACATAGCTGAAAATGAACAGATGTATGTACATTCATATCCATCCACAGACAGCTGCAAGCGTGAACCGATACTGTCGGCTACTCAATACAAACACACTCGTTTCTTGGTATTCATGAGCGTTTGAGTATCCACGAGCATTGGTGTTTGATCGAACCACATCTATTCGTCATTAGTTCTTCAATCTTCAATTGCGCTATACGTGTTTTTACGAAGTCTTTGCTTTATTTTGCGAACTCGATTCATTTTTTGGAAATAAATCAACTCATTCAATTACAATAAAGTGAGTATTAATTTTTTTTTTTGGGATTTTCATTATTATTCTAAGAAGAAAATAATTAATTTCGTCGTAAATTCATGATATTCTGTGAAATCGATGGATTTTTCTTTGTCATGTAATTCGATGTAAAGTCTTTGTTCCGTTTGTTCTTATGTAAAAAAGAAATTGCCGTTTCATGGCCGCCATACAGACAAGCGCGTGTTCCATTTCAATTTTTATAATAGAAATTTCATTTTACGATCGAAATCAGTAAGGTTGGATGAAAATTTAATTGATAATTTTTGTGATTTTTACTCACATAAAATTTTCCATGTGGTTTGCACGCCGCTACTCAGGCGGAAGTCATGTTCGTTTTTTCGTTCATGTTCTGGAACATTTTTTTTTTGTGTCATTGTGTGCGTGCATGTGGTTCGCATTTACAAGGTGATTCAAGTGCCGACTAAATAAGTCATGAACTCACAACTATTATACCAAATATGGCACACACGTTCTTTGTCATCATTCCTTTTACGAATCATTTCGTTAATTTATGTATTTTTTCTGTTAAATTTCTCCTTAAATCGATTGAAACGATGAAAAAAAAATCCATGAACATTTTCAACGAGAAAGCTTCAAAATGGCTTCAATTACAACATGATTCCAGATGAAAGAAAAAAAAACGAAAATTATTGATCGTATAGCATTTGATGCTTATTCGCATCACATTTTATTGATTTTCAATTTCTACTCGTCCGCCCATGAACACTTTCTATGCTACAAATGGGTTACGAAGCGTGTCGTCATGCAAACACTTTTTTCCCGTAGGGAGACACGTGGTTTACTGTGGGCGCACTGAACACACGCTTGCGAAAGTATTGTGCACGACATTCCATTTACGTATTCAATTTTCACCCATTTTTTTCGATTAATTGTTCATGCAAACACAACCAGTAAATGCAGTGCAATTAATACTGGTTTTCTATTATTTGCGTCTGTGAATAAATTATTAGCAAATACTACTTAACTATTATTGTATTCTTATCGAAAACTGATACAGTTACGAATTGAATGCATCAGCAATTTTTCAAATAAAGGAATGGTTTATTTTTCATAACGGAAATGACGACAAACGATTTCATTTTGTATATGAAAAGATGATACGCGCATTTAAAAACAATTTCTTCTAATTGGTGATACATGTTAGATCTGTGATTCGATGAGTCACTGCTTACAATCTGACACTCTGGTTGTGAAACATGTGTCAAGATTATGTATGACGCAACACGAGACCTTTGCTAAATATAATGTTGAATTTACACGTTACGCCTTTTGGTTATCGCATTTTTAATTTTTGAAGAAATTTTTAACATATCGCACATCGGAATGAATCATTTATTTAATCAATTTTTTTTTATTTTTTCCTCCTTTTTCTGGAAATTCAGATGGCTAAAGCTCCAGCTGTTGGTATTGATTTGGGTACCACGTACTCATGCGTCGGTGTATTCCAACACGGAAAGGTTGAAATCATCGCCAACGATCAAGGTAACCGTACCACACCATCGTACGTTGCCTTCACCGATACCGAACGTCTCATCGGTGATGCTGCCAAAAACCAGGTCGCCATGAACCCAAACAACACAGTTTTCGACGCCAAGCGTTTGATTGGCCGTAAATTCGACGATCCAGTCATCCAAGCCGATATGAAACATTGGCCATTCGAAGTTAAGAATGTTGACACCAAACCAAAAATTGAAGTCCAATACAAGGGCGAAAAAAAACAATTTTTCCCAGAAGAAATCTCATCCATGGTTTTGACCAAGATGAAGGAAACCGCCGAAGCTTACTTGGGCAAAACTGTCACTGACGCCGTCGTCACAGTGCCAGCTTACTTCAACGATTCGCAACGTCAAGCAACCAAAGATGCCGGAACCATTTCTGGTTTGAATGTGCTCCGTATCATCAACGAGCCAACTGCCGCCGCCATTGCCTACGGGTTGGACAAGAAGGCCGTCGGAGAACGCAATGTTTTGATCTTCGATTTGGGTAAGCGTCGCATTTTAGATAGAAAAGAATTATTTCTCGAACGATTTTCCATCGAACTATGATTTGGCATACAATTTCATGCGATCAATTTGCTAATAAAATGGTTTTTTCTTTCATTTTCTTTCCTTGAATTCCTTGAATTGATCAGGTGGTGGTACCTTCGATGTCAGTATTCTGTCGATCGATGATGGTATCTTTGAGGTGAAATCAACTGCCGGTGACACTCACTTGGGAGGTGAAGATTTCGATAACCGTTTGGTCAACCACTTCGTGCAGGAGTTCAAGCGCAAGCACAAGAAGGATTTGGAATCCAACAAGCGTGCATTGCGTCGTTTGCGTACCGCCTGCGAACGTGCAAAGAGAACTTTGTCATCATCGACTCAAGCCAGCATTGAGATCGATTCATTGTTCGAAGGTGTTGACTTCTACACATCGATCACTCGAGCTCGTTTCGAAGAATTGAACGCCGACTTGTTCCGTGCCACAATGGACCCAGTCGAGAAGGCTATTCGTGATGCCAAATTGGACAAGAGCAGCATTCACGACATCGTCTTGGTCGGTGGATCAACCCGTATCCCAAAGGTTCAAAAGTTGTTGCAAGACTTCTTCAACGGCAAAGAACTCAACAAATCAATCAACCCCGATGAAGCCGGTAGGTGTCAATTCATTCTCTCATCTCTCTTTATCCATGTCTTTTGTTTGACTATGACTTTCCATTTTAATTTGAAGAAGAAAAAAATCGATTCAGTTGTACTAATGAATGTACTTTTCACATTTGACTTACAGTTGCCTATGGTGCTGCTGTCCAAGCCGCCATCTTGCACGGTGACAAATCGGAAGCCGTTCAAGACTTGCTCTTGTTGGACGTTACTCCATTGTCGTTGGGTATCGAAACCGCTGGTGGTGTGATGAGCGTGTTGATCAAACGTAACACAACCATCCCAACCAAACAAACCCAAACATTCACCACCTACTCGGACAACCAACCAGGAGTGTTGATCCAAGTTTTCGAAGGTGAGCGGGCAATGACCAAGGATAACAACTTGTTGGGCAAATTCGAATTATCCGGTATCCCACCAGCACCACGTGGCGTTCCACAAATCGAAGTCACCTTCGATATTGATGCCAACGGTATCTTGAACGTTACCGCTTTGGAAAAGTCGACCAACAAAGAAAACAAGATCACCATCACCAACGACAAGGGACGTTTGAGCAAAGAAGATATCGAACGCATGGTTAACGAAGCCGAAAAGTACCGTACAGAAGATGAGAAGCAAAAGGAAACCATCGCTGCCAAGAACGGTTTGGAATCATACTGCTTCAACATGAAATCAACCATGGATGAAGAGAACATCAAATCGAAAATTTCCGAATCCGATCGCAACACCATCCTTGCAAAATGCAACGAAACCATCAAGTGGTTGGATGCCAATCAATTGGGCGAAAAAGAAGAATACGAACACCGTCAAAAGGAGCTTGAAGGAGTCTGCAATCCAATCATCACCAAGTTGTATGGTGCAGCCGGTGGTGCTCCAGGCGCTGGCGGTATGCCAGGCGGTTTCCCGGGCGCTCCAGGTGGTGGCGGTGAAAACCCAGGTGCCGGATCAGGCCCAACAATTGAAGAAGTCGATTAAATTGGCTCGCTGACTTTCCTCTGCGGATAATCAAACAGCTTCACATAACTCCATTTTAGCTAATGCTTGATACTTATCATCATTGACCATTTTTGGCTAAGTTAAACGATTATAACTCTATTACTCATATTATTTTTTTTCGATTCTCAATTTCCTATCAAGGCTATCAAATTTGATAACGAAACACATAGACTATAACTATGATATACTTTTATTGTTATGCAATATCTAAACAAAAAAATATAAACTGAATGTTCTGTTCAACAAGAAACAGTTTTAAAACTATTGGTGATTTGCGGCGGAATAAGCCCACATATATATGAAAAAAATAAAACCAAAATGTTAATTTAACGTAGTTCAATTCGATCGTCTTTTATTCCAAAAACCATTGAAAAATAAAGAAACACATTTCCTCTCAGGAATTTAGTACAATTTTCAATGACATCTAAAAACAACTTGAGTCTAATTACACATTGAACTAAGTCTATCGTAAACCATCCAAATTGTAACAATTGAACAAAAAGACTCATTTTCTGCAAAACTTTGAAGGGTAACTGTTGTTTTTTATATCATATTTGAGAAGAACACAAAAATAACTTCCGATATGAATATATGACTTATTTGTATTTTTTTTAGAAAAGTGGTTTATTTTGAGACTATGTTACAATTAGAACTATGTTACTATTTGGATGGTTTACGATATGCTTTATTCATGACTTCTTCATAGCCGACCGGTGTTGCCACATCCTCACTGACCATTTGTGGATGTTCATTCCAAATTCTCTGGCATTGATGCATACTTTTCAGAACATTCTGTAGATTCCAGTGGCTGCGCAACAGTGAATCTTCGAATGAAAAATACCCATAACGTGTGCATCTTATTTTGGTACAATGGGCAACCGTTTTCAGTTGAACGGCAACATCTAAAACTAAGCTGGCTAACATTTCTTCCGATGCGTTCATTGTTTGCACTTCAATTGTGAATGTTTTCCCCGTGAATTCCGTATTCCGTATGCCATAAATGACGGTGTTCTTGGTGTTAAGCGGTCGAATGAGTCCTTTGCATGCTAGTTCATAAGCTGATTGCGATTGAATGTCCAATCCACTCATTTCGTACATTTGCTTTTGATACGTTGTTTGCAACGATGACAATAATGCCTGTAGCCGTCCAGATGTAACATGCTTATAGCCTCCTCTCAAAGTGCAGCGATCTCCTTGGAAATTGGTCTCTGTCGCTTTCCCAAACTTGCCGGTCACGTGGAATGTTTGGATTGGCGCTCCATTTTTCAGCAGATTTGCGAATCGCACACCTTTATTAATACCTAAAACTGATGACAAAAAGCGAAATTTATAACATTTTTCGTTTATGAACCATTGCTCATGCATCGTTTTCAGAAAATACATCGTTTTCAATCGTTTTAATTCGATTCTTACCCATAACGCCGCTTGTGTGAACTCCAAGATGATCGGCCGCAAATATTTTCAACATATCCTGTGTGTACCGAGGTCCAGTGGCTAAAATATCTTGACCTAAATTTGGCACTAATTGAACGGAATAGTTTTTATTGTCCGCACTCTCGATTTGCACCAGCGGCTTCGGCTCATCCAATTGCATCGAGTTTAAGTCTATGTTTTGGGATTGACGTCAGTTCCATATGAAAAATGAAGAAACACAACGGAAAATGAGTGAGATTTTTTCTGTTCTTCTGTCACAGAAAAATCTATTTGAATTAAACAAGTATCGAATCATATCTCTTACCATCGCAAAGATTTCGCTTGATTGCATTTATCAAGGTTGTCGTCAACATGCCGGATGGCTTGTACACATTTATCGTGCCGTGTAAAAACTTCCAAGCTTTCGATGCCCGTGCAATGAGCATCGATGGATTTTTGACCACCAATTCAGACATTTTGTGGACAAATTTTATAAATTAATCGAAGTAAAATAGAATTTCTTATATTATTTTGAATACAAATAACACAAGCATGCTGCTGTCAAATAAGAAATGTCAATTAAATATTCAGTTCCCTATCGGACACCATGAGTATCGTGCGTGATAAGACACGATTTCGAATTGGAATCGATGAATGCATGAGAAAAGTTTGTTTTCGGCTGTCTTTATTAGTGAATGCATGGGATAGAATGACAAGCTAATATTTCTGAATTTTTATTTAGAAATTTCATCATATTTGGGAGTTTTTGAAAACATTTGTGATTCTTTTCCGTTTTTCTAGCAAATATTCGTATACTTCAGTATATACCAACCTTTTTGATATGCTGATCAACTCCAGCCCTGGTATTGAGATACATCACACGCATGTGTGCGTTGACCAAACTGTCAAAACAGCTGCACGGCTACAGTATCAAACTCAACGATAATTTTGCTTGTACTTTTTTTGCTACAAAAAAGGCATTTTTAATTACGTTGAATTGAATCGATGAGGTAAGAACGAAAACTTGAAAGTCTATTTTCCGAAGAAGTTGTTTTTCATTGAATTTTGTACATAATTTCAAGGTCATTTGTGTTTTCTTACAGAAATTCATTATTTGCCGGCATTCGTCTAATTCAAAGTACCGCGACAACAACGCAATTTGCAAAAAATTCCATTAAATCACGTTATTATTGTCGAAAAATGGATGGAAAATTGGAAGCAGTACCATTGGTTGATATCGACGATGAAGGTCGTTTTAAATATATTCTGATCAAGGTGTACGGTCGAGAACAAGCCGACGGTACTGAACCGAACAAACTGATTGTTCGCGGCTATCAACGCGCAGAATGGCATGGTAATGAAAGAATTCATCCTATTGTTAAATCAACATCGTTGATTGATGCAGTTTTTATTTATCCCTATTCATAATGTCAACAACAATGTAATCGCAATTTATTTGTTGTAGCTGATATTTACGATGAGGTTAGCGGTTCGATTCGTGCACTTGGATTGGATACGGAATGCCTGGGAGGTGGTCGCATTGAGCATTTTCCAGAAAGCAAATTACTGAAAGTGTATGGACATTCAACTGTAAGTGAAGAATAGAACGACTGAAAAAATGAAAGAAAATATTTGTATTTGCATTTTCAAGCAGAACAAAAGACAGTATTCTTAGAATCAGTATTTTTATTTTCCAAACAACAATTGAAATTTCCAGTGAAATTGCTCAAACTTAAAACAATGCATTTCTCTACTTTTCAAAGGGTTACGGGAGAGCCGATCATGCGGAAACCAGAAAAATTCTCTTGACAAAATACAAGGATTATGAAATCGAAACGTCTGACGAAGGATATTAAACGAGTGGAAAATATTTTTCCGATGAATTTTAAACAATAAACCGCATCTTTAGAGAAGCAATAAAAGTCAATTGAATAACTGGAATAAATGTGTGTGTCTTTTTATTGCATCCGACGCTTTTATGAGTTTGAAAAATAGAAATACGGAGAAATTCTTCACAGTAAAAACAGCACATCACACCACGCGAACCATAAATCGCAGCGGAATAACTGATATCATCGCAGGAATTGTTCGCGATTCATATCTCTTTTGTACATTCATTGGAGCAAGCCCTGTGCACGTTCATCTTTTATTCATAAGTACATAGCTGTATTTGCAGTTTTTATAGCAAGTCAAGTATTACCACCTAGGGAAAGAAACGGGCGACATGAAAGTCATTCAACATCTCGTGCCTGGGGCTAGTGTGTGGTCACAAAGCACCGGATTTACTTTTTTTTATTCACTTCACTTACCTTGTGGTACCGTGTAATTTATACGTTGTAAAATGGTATTTGCATTTCAGTCAGCCACAATGTAAACGTCGGTAATTTGAATTTTTATCAAAGCGTTTCATATATTTAAAATTCTGTTTTAGTTGAGGATTTCCGCGTAGTCGGGAGAATGACAGTGGAATAATAATTCCTGCTGAAATGACATCTTCAATAGTTGTAAATAAATTGTATTTCCATCCAAATTGCTCTGTGATGAAAGATCGTAAAAATGAACTATAAAAAAGACACAACGTTCATTTATTTTTTTCAACTTCTGTTCAGTTTTATTTCCAATCGACTATTGCACATCAAGAGCAAAAAGCGAGTGATTTCTAGAGTTTTCCTTAATTTTGTTTAATAAATATATTCCATGCACTGCATGTCATTTCTATAATTCATATTAAGTTATTTAATTTTATTGGCAACATTATTACTGTAACTATTGAGTAGGCGGAAAACGAACCAACTAATTCAATTTGTTCGAAAATTGTTTGTGTGTGTGTTTTGATCCATTTTCAGTTTAATTCAATTTTGATTGAGTTGGTAAACACGCTGATGGATTGAATATTAATTTATTGACATTGAAACCATCAAATGGAAAATAATGAGCAAAATTTTCGTTCTTTATATATAAATATACCTGAAAAGACCATAAATATTCCCTACAATATTTGAGTGCATTAACTGGCGTGGGCCTTAATCGAAAACATTAATCAATTTTAATTGAGGTTGACTGACTTTGGTTTGACATATTGTTGTTATCTATTTAGATTTTAAAAGGTGTGAATGCGGCGGGAATGATAGAATCAATTGAAACATCGATGTGTGTTGATAATGAACAAAAGGACTTTTGACCTTTAAATGTTAAATGTTCACATGTTCATGAATTCAAAATTCGGCAATTTTCGTAAGCTCATTTATCTCCTCAGAGTTAATCCGAATTTTGACATCATCACTCGGCACAACTTGTATTCATATTTTCCATACATGACATAGGATACTTTAAGTTATAACTTGTCCTTTTTCGGTTTCATACACAATAGAAAAATCATGCTAATGAACGTAGTGTTATCATGAATAACTGGTCATTTTAGTTATGAATACGTGCTCTTTATAGTTAAATGGATTGATAAAATTATCTTGGCATCATTTTGTGTGGCCATTTAGGAAATACTCATTTATTTACACATTAATAGTTATATTTAAATCTTTTTTTAATTCATTGTCTTTGTACCAATTCCAAATAAATTTGCTTTGGAATACCGCGCCGTACGGAAAGACCATTTTGCTAGTACGGAAAGACGATCTGACTTACTTAATAAATTATATGCATTTTAATCAGATTTAGGATCAGAGACACAAATTCATTTATAAATTGGAGAGTAATTATTCTCCTTATTCTTTCTCTATCTCTTGCAAATTGGTGCACCGATAGACTGGTAATCCGGTTCCGTACTGCCAGAGTATTTTCCCGATCGAAATGTGCATATGTGCAAATTTTACGCTCCCAAAAAATCTATTTACGATTAGCAGTCTGTCATTTGTTCGTTCGATTGATTCGGCTGACTTTCGGTATGAATTTGTGCGGTAATTATGTTGTGGCAACTTTCATTGGTGGCAGCATCGTCTTCATCTTCTTCAAAACCTGCATCGATGGTGGCATGAACGTTGCCTGTGTTGTTGGCATTTGTTGTATTGATGTGAGCAAATCGCAGTTGCTCCTCTAATTGAATTGTATCACTAAACTGATTAGCATTTTCATTGCAGCATTGATCGTTGATATCATCATGGTTCACTTTTGTTTCGTTCATATCATCTTGGCCGCATTCTTCTTCCACAATTTCCGTTGGTGTACGCGATCGCATGGAATCCGATAATTTGGTGGTGCTTTCACTTTTCCGATCGTCCGTATCGATGATGCCGTCGTCTACATGGCCCAATATGAACGGCAATTTTAACGACACCTCTCCACCCATTCCGCTTAATGTCAACTTAATTTTAATATAATACGATACATAAATTGCAAACACATTTCGCTCCTCGTACGTTTGTGGTCCACGTGGTGCACTTGACGCTATTTTCATATTGGCCTCTGGCGGTTCATTTGATTCCGATGCGGAATTTTGCTTCGATAACGAAGCCGATGGCAGCGCGTATGCCGTGTTATGCGACCCTTCAACGGCAATCCAATTTTTGGTCGGTCCTGCAAATAAAATATACAATTATTTACATAAACGAATGGATTAAAAATCATATTAAGATATTAAAATTGTAATTTCATTCAAGCCATGTGGCTGGCTGCATTACCTTTTGTCGGCACGAGTGAATACTCTTTTCGATACGTTTCGCCCGGTTTTATTTGATACGATTCGAATTCATCGGCTACGACATTTTTAAATTTGCCATTGCTAAACATACACACGTCGACATGCTGAACGGCAAACACCTGCAAAACAAAACGGGAAATCGCACGTACATTATTTATTAACACCATGCAATAATCATCTGTGGCCAGAAACTCGGAGAAAAACACTTTTTTACGAGCATATTTCACATTTTTCATCCAGCGTTGAAAGTTTTCCCATTTTTGCATTCATTGCAGAAATTGCCATGCGGTGTTTGTTTTAATTTCTTATCAAGTTATTAAGCACAGTGCAAATGCCTGGGTGGAAAAAAGACTCAAACAAAAATGAAATATTCAAAATCTCGAGCTTGTGGAGAATGGTTGGGTTGACTGAAGAGCAAGAGTTTTGCCTCTTCTTTTAAATCCTTCCCTCTCTCTCTCGTTTTCATTAAGTGTCAGTCAGTCGGGCACGCTCATTTCCGTTGGTGACGCACACGAGAAGGGAAAAAAGCAATTAACGTAATGGTAAGAATAAACATGAAAACTACAATGCACAATGAATTAATAAGGACAATTATTTCGAATTCATTTTCAACTTGAAGTGGATTTTATCTAGCATGCCTCTGCCCACTCAAGCCTTTTGTTCTGGTTTTCCTACACATGCTCTGTTCCGCGGAATTATTATGATTTGACGCGTATTTTGCTCCACTTCTCATGTCGTCATTTTGCCGTTGCCTTTGGTAGCATCCTTTATCCGGATTTTTGTCATTATCTCTTATCTCGGTTTCTGTTTCAGTGGCATATTGCAGCCACAACACACACACACACACGCATTATGTAGATCTGTGTGTATCGGAATACTGTTGAAAATGTGAATGGTGCTCAGGAGTTTCTGGCCTTCTATGTGAAATAAAGTGTCTTACCCGAATTTTTCGTATAATTTTTCGGCTGTCGTTTTTCACATCTATGGTAACCGAAATGTGTTCGCCATGCACATAAGCCGATTTATTTAATGCGGCTCGCAAACAAACACGTCCTTCCTGCCAAAGAAATGGTTTGTCAACGCACCCTTCAGGTCCCTAAAAGCAAAATAGAATGTACAACAAACACTTGAACATATATAAGAGATTCGCTATTTCGACATAGGTAAATGCGCCTAATGAGAAAAAGAAAAATGACATCTTCAACGATGTATATTTCGATGGAGCTATAGAATTTTGATTCTTAGGCGCTAGCCATGCCAGTATGCTTTCATAACAGATCAATGGACTTTTCAAGCTTATATAAAACTTGGTAGTTTTTCTTTGTAATTGCGTGATTTAAGTGCCATTTCATTCATACAAACTTATGCCGTTGCATTGAATTCGCTTGACAATGACTCGAGATGTAATGATAAAGTGACCCTTAAAATAGAATACAAGCTGTTGATTTGGGCATTTTGATCGAATGAGATTATTGTATTTTTTTTCTCTATTAGAATATGTTATGTCCATCTAAGTTATTCTTTTGTGGACTTTTGGACGATTTGTTCACATGACATACGTTGCTTGTGGAACGAATCTCCGAACATTAGTTATCGCTTGGTAACCAAACGAGCACGTGATGAATCTTCGATGACATCAAGTTTTCGTGTTCGAAAATAACATCAACCAAGGGAGATGTTTACTCATTTCCGATAGAATGCCAAAGTGAAAGAAAAGTTATGTATGTGTGTGTATGGTGAATCGTGAAAAGTTTTCATCTGTTTGACACTTTGTCACTTAGTAGAAAACTCAATAAAACTTAGCTTATGAAAGCGAGGCAATAATAGTAGCTAAATATTTGCCGTAATGACACGTGCATAAATCGTTATAATCCTATCTTTCTCTATTTATATCAATTTGAACATGGTGTCCTTATGTTGCTAACGAGCCCCAACTCGAATGCAATTCTAATGGTGATTATCATGAATGCGACCACCACCCATTGTTACTAACGAACACAAATTACTATCTTCGCACACAATATTGCTGCATTCAACTATATACGCGCACATGAGCGTTGGTGTGTATGTGTGTGTTTGATGGATGACACTTCTCCAGAATGCACTGGAAGCTGTCTCGTTTGTCAGTTTTGCCAAACAACCATAACTGCGGTAGTTGGAACATTTGCACCATTTACCAAATATCGCTTTGACATGCCATACGTACACAGTGTGTACAGGACACACTTTTTGAGCTCTCCCGCTGCTGTACTTTCTGTGTCACACCACAACATCATCACAAACGATGTCACAATTTATGCTACTTTAATGGATGCCAATCTCAGTGATTGCGCTCAATAGATTAAAGCTGTCAATAAATGATGCAATTAAATTGCTGCTGATTTTGAAAAGTGAAGTTTATGTTCGACTTTATTGCAACAAAATCAAACTAATTTTATTTGACACTGACTCAATTTTAATTTTATTCAAACAATTTTTCTTCATCGGTCCGAAAAGCTTGCCACTTCAGTGAAACCTCATGCAAACAAGTTTTCAATATTACATTTTTTTCATTAAAAACTGTTTCATGAACAAAAAAAATGGTGGTTTTCACTCAAGTTGACTTATGAAATTGTGTGCACGTTCCATGAATCGATTATGAAATTGTGAGCAATCTGCAATAATTGCATTCCACTGTTCACAATGTCGCTTCTATCTAAATTGACTGGACATCGCTCGAGTTGAAAAGAGTGTGTTGGTTCAATGAGTGTTTTATTTCTTATCAATATTATCCACTCACTTGACTACGTTGTGGCTAAGTAATTGTATGCAGCTCTCGTTGCGCTTATTGATGGCCATTAATCGAAAGGAAAAATGTGAAAATACGAAAGTTGACTTTGAGTAGAAACACAAACTGACAAATTAAGGTGGTTTCTATAGAATGCCAAGCTAATGCCATTTACTGTAGTATGAACGTGAAAAAATGCACATTTCGAGAGCTACAATTTAAATGCTGGCATTCAGTTTGAATATCAAGATTGTCGAAGTGGAATCGCAAGTGCAAGTACATACTGAAAAAGTTGAGAACGCAGCACATCCTGTTTTATCGTTAGAGGAAATACAATTTAAATGTTATCATTTCAAAAACTTTGTTATAAAAATTGTGGTTGAAATAATATTGAGTTGAAACAGAAAAGTGTGTTGTTAGTTTATATGGAAAGCTGTAAAGTTTTTGCTCAATTTCTCCATCGTTTTAGTTAAATTGAAAATTGTAAAACGCACAATGATTGGTTGGATGGAAAATCCGCAGCAATAATAATAATGAGTTTGGTATAGAATCTCATTATGGCGTTTGCACCACGAAAACTTGTTTGTTGTTCAGATTTGAAAAGTGCATTAAAATTGGATAAAATAAAATGCTCTCTACGAGTGGATGGTATTTATCCAAAATGTGGTTCATATCAACACACTGTTTTAAATAGCTCTTTCAATTATGCATTTTACAGCCCATGATTTTTATGTGAAGTTATAAAAGCTATTCACTTCGTTTCATTCAATGGGAAAATAATCGAATCAAGGTGCACGAATAATGCAGAAATAGACGAAAAGAAAAAAGGAAGAGCTCAAATTTTCTAGAGAGATGTTCTCTTGCCAACCTATTTTGGTCGCATACCTTTGATGTAGAAAATGTGGATTGTCTGATGTCCGGTTTGGTGGAGTTCTTCTCGTCATCGATGCGTGACATTGCGTCGAGGCCCCCGCTGCCACTTCGTTGTCCATTGAGTGCACGATGCTGATTCTCATCGACACTTGTTGAAAACTTACTAGCTAATTTGAGAGCTTTTGGCGACAAGCGTAACCGTAGTGACTTGGACAGTGTCGGTGGATTTGGTTCGATGATTGGCTGTGCTCGTGCTTCTGACGTTATTTTATGAATCACCCGAACTCCCAAGCGTACCATTGACCGTCGCGTCAAACGATCCTCCGCTTGGTCAGCTGTAATTCAATTAGAAATTTTTTCAAAACCATTTTAATTAATTTACTCTCAACGAAAAATGAATGGCGAATGCAAAGCACACTCAATGAGAACAATAACCCTTACCCAAATGCACGCGAATATCGTAACTCGTTCCAATTGGTGCACCCGTATATCTTTTGGCTGGAAGAAGTTGAACTGATGGTGGCGCCAAACTGGCAACTTCCAATGAAAATGGATACGCCGTCTTTCCCAGACGATCGATCAACGCTTGCTGTTTTTGGAGTAAATCAAGACAACATACATTTCAAATTAGGACATTTACTTATGATAATATTTTTGGGTAAAGTGGAGGAAAAAAACACATCAAAAAAATTCCTCATTTTTTTCTCATCGTTTGTTATTTTGGGTAAAAAGCATTTTTATGTTCGTTGTGAATTCACATGTGAATAATTGGATTACGAACGAATTTCGTTCATTCCATAACCGTGGAAACACTGTGGGCAATGTTTGTAAAGCTTTCGCAACATAAACACAGAGAAACGAAAAAGAACACTGCCCAAAAACATTATTCAAATTGAAATTTCACCTCCTGCGGTCTCAATCTGCTTAATATCACATCAAAAAAGCAATACTTAATGGAAAGATTGCTCGGCAGTTTGTCTTGTTGTCGCCACTATTGCCGAAAATGATTCGGATATGGGGACGATTTGTTCAAAATGACCCACCCGAAAAACCCAATGATTCAAACTACCATACATCATAGAGAGTAAATCGGTTCAGTTCGACCACATTTCTACGGCCGATGCCATCGGTCGGACACGTTTCTGACATGTTAATGATTCTCATATCTTCCGGATAATCATTTAGAAATAATTGTTATCACATGCAAATGAATCCACATCAATCAGATATGAGCTATTCTATTCTCATTTTGATTAATATTCACCGAATTGTGGGAAAGTCTCCTTTAACATTACGTCAATCGCATTTACGCATTTAAAACTGGTTTGGTTTTGCCAATGTATTACCAACCGCTTTCGCTTATCATGGATGCTGGTATGCATGGTTGATTGTTTGGTCGGTCGGTTAATTAACAATAATAAATGAATATTGCTCAATTGCGTCGGAAGCACTCTTGATTAGATCCTATCTATTCAGGGATAAATTCCAATCTGAATTTGATCCATGGACAGTGAAATGTGCCAACAATGACTTATTGTTATATGCCATATTTTCATAAATTTTGTTCTTCTCTCTTTTGATTATCTCTATGTACTGTGTGTATTATTTGTTCATTTGTGAATAGAGTCTGGAAATCAATTTTATTTCAATGATGGGAATATTATGAACACCCAGGGTTCATGAACATTTCCACCTGTGCTATTGACGTCTATTAGAAGAAGAAAAAGCACACACACGCCAACACATACCTTGACTTGAGAACCGAAACTTATTCGCATGGAAACATTTTATTTTTCCAAAATTTTAAATGATGATGTTTTTCTGTGAATACAAGTTCACATAGCCAAACCCGCGCATTGGTTGCACCGAAGAAGAAAAAACAAACTTAATCGATCAAATTCACCACCGTGATGCATGTCGTCGTCAGTGAAGAAGAAATCAACAAAAGGAGTCAAATTGAAAGGGTACACAGTAAACACGATGGTTCTAACTTTTAGAACCGCAATATGAAATTTGGCACTAAAATCCATTTAAGTACCATTTGTACTAGAAAAAGTTCAAAATGTACTAAATCACAAATCAAAGCTTCATGTATTTATTATAGAACTTTTGAACTTTTTCTAGAGCAAATGGTACTAAAACAAAGTTAAGTGTTAAATCTCAACGTTGCTAGAATCATTGTGTTTACTGTGTATTTTTGTGGCAGTAATATGTAAATTTATTTATTGCTTTCGATAATATTGTGAGTGTGTTGAACGATGAATTCGTGCAAAAAGAAAACAATATTTTTGCATGATAAGATGCCACTCTTCTTCCGATTTCCCCAGGTATACGTTACATGTTTTTGTTCGTTCGTTCATATGTGAACGCACTCAAGGAGAAAAAGTCCGCTTCATATAAAAATATTTTCATTTCCCTCATCCACCATCACTGCCGACTTCACCGTCTTCTGCATAGAAAAACATTGCAGAGAATATATTCAAACTAATGAGCTGTTCATGTTCAACCATAAATGTAATATCTGTTGTTATGGCGGCTTTTCGTTGACTCGGATATGCACACATGAGCATAAGCGAAACATCATAAACCAAATGGGAACAACATCTAATGGTGGGTGCTTTTGTATGATGTTCATGTTCTTGGCCTTGAAGCCGTGCTACACATATATTGAAGCACGCATTGTGCACATTGACAGAGAAAAACCGCAAAAAACCTGCGCCTTACAAATATACAATTGCTTGGCAAAACTCCTACTAATGGTTGAAATCCACTTCGATAGTCGTAAATTTTCCCAGGCAAATGAATAGAAACCATGCAAATGGGGTTTTATCTCGATTTAATTTGTACCAGTCGCTGAAATCTAACAAAAAAGAATTGACTATGAGCTTAACTGCTGTCAATCAAAATCAAATTTACACAAATTTTAATGAAAGTGGAGGTGAAATCGTTTTTATTTTTGTATCGACTTGGAAGTTTGTTGTGCATCATACTGGTTTCTAAATCCGATTCCGCCGAGATTGAGATTGAGATTGAGGGGAGAAGAAATTTCACACAAAAGAATTTTGTTCACAAAAGATGAATACGACTTGGTAATAATAGAATGGAAAAGCGCCCGCGTCGCACCACATCAATCAAATCGAAAGTGAGAGAGAGTGAGGGAGAGAGATGACAAACCGAAGGAAATTGCAATGCGTGAGCGGTGCGAAAATCAAAACTTATTTCCATTGAATGTGAAAATATATATGCCGTGTACAATGTACATCAATTGTGTCAGCCCATTAATGAATCTAAATAAATTTCTTGGACCGAATATAATAACATTGTGTTGTGAAATGGATCTTAAATAAATGAATCCATTCGTAAGTAATACTCAAGTCATTTTTCAGCCAATTCGGGTTCCGCAGCAAATGTGTGTGATGATGAACACATTCTTGTTCCAACGTTGGTTTTGTATTACGCACACACAATGAATCTGTTTCCAAGTGAAGAAATCAAGTCTGCGGTATCTATTTTCTATACCTTTCAACTAAAACATGCTGTGAAAAACATACTGTGTGTGTGTGTGTGTGTGTGTTCTTGGTTAACCAAAATTTCATCGAAACGCAACTCTTTGGCAACAGCTCGGAATCTTACGGTAAATGGTTCATTTTCGACAGTCATCCAACTTCACCGAGAAAACATTGATAATGCGATACACTTTGTTTCAACCCAAATGCCCATCAGCATTCCAACCCTTGTATGTATGGTTCGAGGTAAAATCATGATGAGATTTAATGTGTTTTGTCTGCGTTGCAAAAATCAACAAATGTTTTCGTTCACACTTTTAGTCGGTCGTACATCATATTACTGGAGATGCTCGTCTCACGCTCTTGAATACTTCTTTGTTCAAAACACCAGCAAAGGAGGTAACGTGTCAAAATGAGTGAATCGATTAGATTTTATTTATCATAAATGTCAGGAGTGAAAGGAAAAAAAGCAGCAATTCACCTGTTTGTTGGATGAAATTCACTGGAAAACTCAATCAATAGCGACTGATGGCTGACAATTTAAGTGAAGTTGTGCCAATAGCCAATGTCGATATTTGAGTCTTTTGTTCGCTTCAATGGGTTTCTCTTTTCATGTCGTGAATTGCTTCTTAAAATTCCTGTTCTATCATACAATCACATATTATGTGTTAAGCAATGATAAAAAAAAACGAATCAGCGCCGTTCGTAGAAATGGTTGGTTTTAAAAGAGAAGCACCACCACGCCAGCAGAAGTGATATTTAATGGTAGAAGAAAAGTGTAAAAATAAAACACTTGAGATAGCGAAAAAAAACCTCTTGAAAACGTGCGTGTATTATTTTGCCATCGATATTTGTGATATCAACTTGAAAGTTCATAACCTTTCATTGATTTTATTTCAGATGGTTTCGTTCGGTTGGTTCGATGCTTTTGATCGAATTACATAAAATCCACGTTGAACAGACAGATATGAGCGGTGACAAGACAAATGCAAAATCGAATGAAAAACAACAATAACAACAGCAACAGCAAGTAAATACGCGGAACATGACGTTGTTCGCGTTTAAAGTAGCGATATTTTCAGTATTTACATAAGAATTACGTTGAAATGTTTGCCCGATAAGATCATGCCGAGTTGTATTGGAGTAAAAATCCCATGCACTTGAGGAATGTCATGCCAGCCATAAGATTGTGTCTGCACATTCGGATGGTTGAAAAGAGCATTTCACTTGACGTGACTATGGCATTTAATTTATGCTCGTGTCGGTTCCCGCGGCAAAATTCAATTTTATGTCATCCCCGAAAAAAGATGTCATCGTGCCCGGGCTGTGTGTGTCTGTTGCTATGTGAGCGAGAGTTTATTTTCGGTTGGCAGTTCATTTCGCGAAATAAAATTCATGCCAAATCAAATTTCAGGACGAGTTTCTCTCTCTCTCTCTCTCTCTCTCTCTCTCTCTCTCTCTGTCTCTCTCTCTTCTCATTGCACACTACAATCTCGTCATTGCACACATAAAACGAACAAATCATCATTTATGCATGAATATAAATTGTACTATTTGGAGTTTTGTGCGAGCGCGCACTGTCAGCGCTCGGTCTCGCATGCATATGAATTGACTTGATTCCATCAAAACGTGCATTGCAATATGTTTGCACTTTGGCATAAGCTTTGAGAAGTTTGTTTCGCCTTTTTCCCCCATTTCTTTCTTTCTCTCCGTTCCATCAACAGCGCCGTTCATTCGCCTTCTAACCGAATGTGTGTGTGTGCTGCGGTAGAGACGTTCGACACGCGTTCAGCGACACTCGTTGAGCTTATTGAACTTGTCAGCACGACAAATTGCATTAAAAACATTTCAAAGCCAAAGGGAAAACGGAACCAAGAAGAAGAAGAAAGAAAGAAAGAAGAAGACAGAAATGAGTAACATGAGGACCGACATTTGTATGTGACATATCCGTTGAACGTGAGCCATGTGCATGAATTCTTGCGTGGTTGATACGTGGTTCATACATGAAAGTATCAAGTGGTGCAAGAATGACGGCAACATTGTCAATACATTTGACTATAGTATGTGCTATAAATGACTCGCGCACGCAAAAACTACAAATAAACCATTTCATTCGATTATTATCGAACACATATTTTTATTAGTCAGGCGAATGGCTTTTTTTGCGCTCATTCTCGCTCACTCGTTTGCTCTCTCACTCTCTCATCTGTACGTCAAGTCATACACACTGATGTGATCCGGCAAGTGCTTCAGTGGCAATACTGCGTTTACTATCGCCGTTTTTTTCCTATTCTTTTTGTAAGATCTGTTAAAGCATAAAAGAAAATATGGTCGAGCGTCAATGACAATGCCATAAGTTTTATTTTGATGTTATTATTGCACAATGTGCGATTGCGTTCTGAAACGAGATCGTTTCGGTGTCGTTCATTGGATTTCATAAATACTTTGATATCTTGTCAATTTTGATGGGAATTATTGGCACTTGGCAAACATTCTGACATTCAACGCATGTATTTATCTCACCGGATGATTTGTTTCAAAATATGACATTGGTATCGACATGAAAACGACAAAGTAAACAGTTCACAAACACACTCACTCACGCACGCACTGAAACCGCTTGTCCTCCATTTTTTCGCTATTTGCTCCGAACCGAAGTGAGCGTGTTGATTAATCGAGTTCTCAAAACCATTTATCGATTTTGTAATAATTTTCTCCCGTCGAACGGTTCATAAGCGATTAGGCTCACTGTTCCATCATCTGAAAGCGACAATTTTTGGATGAGATATAGGGATAGAACAACAAACAAAAACATCGCCAGTAAAATTGAATGATTTTTTTCTCGTTCATATTGGAGCCTCGTTTCTCGGTACTTTTTTTCTCTATCTCTCGTTCGTTTGTCAATTTTATTGCGATGGAAAGTGTGATATTTTATTGAATCATTGGAATGTGTCATATCAATTGACTGCGGTTAGTGCTATCTCTTTCCCACTCTTCCTTTCCTACTTTTTCTCTCGCTCGCAGCTGCATCAGACACGAAAAACCTCCATCTATCTTCATCTTTGTCACAGCGACCAAACATTGCTGGCATTGATATCGAGCGCCACCATTTTTGAATGCTTTCAAAATAACTCATCCTCCATTAGGAATTCATTCTGATTGATGTTTTTTTGGTCGTCATTTTATTTTGTCGGCCATAAAATTGGCTGCTGACGCGGCGGCATCACAACGAAAATAACTCTGGTCGTAAAAAAATATAAAACAATGGAAAAAAATTTCGATTTGGTTTCATGCTGAGTTTTTCACTCGATGCGTTGTACACATTGAGTGCGGTTAATAAGTCAAAGCAAAGCGGTCTATCACAGTTGTCAACAGTTTCAATGATGTTTAATGGTTGCAAACAATGGAGCTTTTCATGTCGATGTTGTTGGTCGTTGCAATGAATGAAAAATATTCGATTGCCAGCCGAATGGAAACTGTTCTATTTTAAATCATTAAGCAGCGATTACCGTTCACTTTCTGATTGATTGATGGGAATGTTGTTTCAAAAGGTTACTCAACTTTTATTGCCGAAAGCTGTGCTCACATTTCAACCATTTTGAGAATATCGCACTCGATTCGCTCCGCTCTTGATTCCAAGCGTAATTTGATGCTCGTGTGGCGTTATCGAGTTTTCATAACAGTTTTGATAATTAATTTTCTATTTCGTTCTATCTCGGAAAATTCATCGAATTTTCCACATCTTCGGATTTCATTAAGGATTTATCTATTTTCGGCATTTATTCCATTTACGGTGATTTTATTTCCCATATTATCTCGGTTATTTGATTAGTGGTGCTATCTCTATTTCTATGTATATGTCTATATGGAGTGAGCGGCGAATCTATGACAATATACATGTATGAATGGCAGATGCTCAGTTTTTATCGTTGTGAGCAATTTAATTATCTCGCATTATTTGCTTTTGTCTCGACTGCTCATATTGATTTGTTGAGTAAATATTTTCAATGGCACACAGATCGTTATTATTTTACGTCATCATACATTCAACCATTTTCATCAAGCCATTTTCTTTATTCAATGTAACAAAATGCTATGACATCCATAAAATATGCACGTTCAAGCCGTCGATGGATATGTATAAAAACGATATCTTTTTGTTTTATTTCTCAAGGAATGGATGGGCAAATAGATGGCATATATTGCAACAAACCCATGAAAATATGCCAAGGATTTACCTCTATCTTTTGTTGATCTTGACTTTGATACTCTGGAGATTGAGAGCAAATAGAAACAAAAACAAATCCAATCCAAGATAGAAGAAGACCAAATTCATACGATCGGAAATGGTTGTCATGAAATTCGAAGGGTGGATTTGTCCCTGGACGAAGATAGATTTTACTTTTTCGGCCAAAAATTGAAATGAAATATGATTAAATTGAAATTGTGTATGATTGTTCGGCTCATTGGAATTATTTGATTTGATTGCGCTTCAAAATGAAACAGTCCATTTAATATCCGATTAAAATTCAATTTATCCGAATCAAAAGATCGCATTGACGTGGTCGTTGTCAATAAGGTTGTCCATGAATACGTCTCGAAAATGTTGGCCAAAATGAAATTTTCCACAGAAATATGTAATAATGTTGAACACACAAAAAGTAACGAATTCACTTGATTCAAGAAGAACTTTTGAGCAGATTTTTTTTTGCTTATTTTATTTGTTCAAACCGGTCCTCCGGGAGTTTTGTACTCGGCTACAGCCAGTTCATATTCTTTAATGACACAATAATGATGATAAATCAAATCAAAATGCTCCTGTGAGAATTCCAAAATGAAATCGTTGAGTTTGACAAAAATGGAGCGACAAAAGAAAAGAAGCAACGGAAGAAATCAGATGAGCTGTTTGATGCTCATCATCAAAGTAAGACTCAAAATGATTGCACAAGTAAAAAATGTCATCTTCAACATTGCAAAGCGCACAAAATGCGCCTAATTAATACATTTAAGCTTTTATCGTATTTGCCTTTTGTTCTTACAATCAGCTTATCAGCGAACGTAACGCTCTCAACAATAGCCATTTGAACATTGTTCAACGCACATTTTTGTAATTAAATTCGTTTCGCTGCCATTTTTCGGAACATAAAACGGAAAATATTCCACCCTTAACTTTCGACTGAAATTAGCTAAATGACTTTGAGATGAGAAAATTTGGTGGAAAAATGGGCGGAAAATTCAATGAAAAAGCAGCGAAACTTTTGCATGGTCTTCCAATTTAGAATCCAGCAATTTTTGAAAATTTTCTTGCGGACAAACAAATTTTATTGTTCAAAACCTACCTGCAGCAGTGATAGTGGTTCCTTATCGTTACTTGTAGGCCATATCTGTTTCAATGCAATTATCGCTTCATTACAAAATTTCAATCCCATCACTTCTTCGTCCTCGCGGCCATATCTGTTTGCAATAGAGAAATGGAAAAAAATGGATGCTGGATCAGTAAAATATTTATGCGAGGACATTGGGCTTATCTTTTATGTTATACGGTTGATGAAGAAATTGTCGGAACGCAAAAAATGCTCCATTCTTTATTAAAATGAAGCATTAATTTTACGTGGATATTCATTGGACTTCCGTCCATATTTGTTTTCCGACTTTTTTCGGTATGTTTTTCCTGTTAAAAACGGTAAAAAATGAAGCAAATTGAACAAGCGAAAATGTAAATCTTTTATGATGTTCGCCTGAAGCTTGAAATGAATGGAAAAAAAAATTCTTGCATTCAAACTGGTGGTTTGCATCGCAAATGAACATTTTCCCTAGAAAAGTCGGAAATTCGCATATTCCACACACTGTGGCACACAGAAAATAAATCCACAAGAGAAATGAAAAAAAAATGCACAGACACCGACGCAGACACATTTCATTAATAATGATCCACGTAAAATTGTGAAGTTTGTTTATTTCGGGGCAGCACAGGCTGGCTCTGCGGTAAATGTACGTTATACCCGAGCCAGATGTTGTCGGAATCAATTAAATGAACGCAGAAACGCGGAAGATTTTCATCCAATTAATGACAGCCGAAGATATATTGAATCAATATTATTGATTGTTGGTGTTTGGTCTCTTCGAATCTGATTCAGTCAACTAACAACCATGACAAATGTGTATCGCTCTTTTTCGATTAAAATCAAAGTTGGTATGCACCCAACTTGAAATTAAATCAAGGTAAATTACGTCAGAACGCTCTGCATCCTCATCAACGTCGATTATTTGTCATTACTCATTGTTTTCCAAAGTGTCGTGATAAACATCGAAGTCTTGACACACATATTTCCAAAATTAGGGGATGCGATGCGACAATTTCCAATAAAGTATACATTTTCAGTAGAACAACGAGTTTGAGTTGGGCCACTTCATGCGAAATGTTGCAAACATCAATAAAGACGGTTTGTGAGCATAATGGATATTGTGTGGTGTTCGAATTTGTACCCATTAACTTCAGTAGGCGAGGATAGTAAAGTGCATAAAGCCTTCTTCCAATTATTAATTTCATTTCACGCTATCCCATCTGCCAATGACGATTTTTGCTGCGAAAAATTCCATCGCAGACGGGTTTATGGCTAATTGGATTTTGTCACAGCCAATAAACACTGCTCGTTCATGTTTCGCATCGATTTCGTGAATTACAAGCACCGAAAAGGACGGCGATGAAGAGAATAAAAAAAGGAATCGAAGATGAAAACAACAGAAGCCGAAAACCAAATACTATATGAACATCTAATGATTCACCGGAGGCGTTGAATGTGACACGTTGATTATACACACGTTCGGGTCACGGGCCAAACACAATGAAGCGTAGAAATGAAAACAGAGAGATCAAAGTTCTGCGAAGCGACAGATTTCGAAATGTTTGCATTTCACATTGTACACATTGTTTGACAAACAATCGTGTCAAGTGAATGAAGAGAGTGAGAGAGTGCGAGGGAGTGGGTGAGTGTATAAGAAGAGTTCATTGAAGAGGAAAAAACAACATCAGCAGAAATACTCTGTTAACATGCTTCAGGCGGTCGAAATATGAATGGAAAATATCGAGGCTACAAACGTTTCACTAGAGACTGAGACTGAAAAAAATTTAAAACATTGTCAACCGAATGAGGCCACCTACAATTGGAAATAAACATGTCGTCCTGGTAACTACTACTAGGCTGGTAGCACACACAACAAACGTAAGCAAACACATTCCAATGCAAATATTTTCACAACTTTTCACTTCAGTCCGATAAAGCCCTCCAATTTCCATGAACGGCTTCTTATCGATTGTTTGGTGCTCTTGGCAAAATCATTTCATTTTTTTTCATTTCTGAAAAGGACACAATATGGTATGTGTACGGAAATGCACCATTCAATGTTACTCCTCCGTTCATTCTGAAAACTCTCATTTCACAATGTTTTCCCACCTTTATTACGTCAATTCAACGATGAATGAATAACACAAACGTTTTTGTGCCAGTTTTAAGCTTATTTTCGATTGAAGTCATGTCAATTGTGCCGACGGAGTGAAAAAATCGAAGTGTATTTAAAGCTTTGAATAGCACAGCAGTGAACGACGAAAAAAAGACGAGCACATTGATTTTAGCTCTGAAACAGAGTCATCGTGTTAAACATGGCATGTTTTTGTTCAAATATTGTACCAGAAATGGTTGAAATTCCATCAAATGTCATTTGAAAATGATATTGATTCTTACATAACGCATACCCGAAATATTTTTCCAACGAATGTTTTCATTCATTTCTCAGAAGAAAGGAAGTAAATAAAGAAAAAGCACACATTCTGCCCTTTGGAATGGTTTTTTTTTAGATTTCAAAAAGAAAAACATCACTGAAACAATTTTATTCTGAACGTTGGAAGATGCCTTTTAATTTTCTCGAATCATCAAGGATACAATTTAACTCCTCTGTCAGTGTGTTATTCTTTCATCGTGACGAGATCTCGAGATTATAATTGCACGCTTCATATTTGTTATGCGGCAGTTAGTGTACTCAAAGCTTCTGAATGTATGAGAATTTTCACGAAAAAGAATGAGATCCAAATTAAATTGGGTTAAGATAATTGCTTCATGAATTATTGCTCTTATAACTTTGTACCTCTTCAAACAAAATGTCTCTTTTTGTTCTTTGTCTAAACATGGCATTTCTTTGTAGCCGCGGTAAAACTGTTGCCTGAGTAGCATCGAGGACGAAAAAAGTATTTCACGCTTTACAAACAGTCGCTCAACGAGTACGAGATATTTTACTTTGTGCAAACAGCGAAATTATTCCAAGAAAGAAGCGTCATTTGCCAACCAAGAAAAGAACATAAAAAATTGAGAAATGAAAGCGTACCGAGAGTGGTGACTGAGACGAGGATAGAAATGAAATGAAACCTTTTGAATGAAAGAAACTGGCATGAAGCTGACTTACCTGAACGTGAGCGTAAGCTGACCGTAAATTTTATGGTTGGCTGCGAATTTCGGATCCACATAGATGATACCACGTAATGGTTCGACTTTTCCTTGACGACAGATTATATCTCGTGTTCCCAAGTATAATGTCAACACCGAATTCGGCGATGTTTTCTTGTAAACCCTTTTTTTTGTTGTCGTCATCGTCCCGCATTTTGATTATTTTCATTTCATCATCCGGCCATTCATATTTACGTGCGATGTGTATTCCGGTTACCGGTGGATAATTGGTTACAAGTCGGGTCCAATAAGGCGTGTTATATGTCAGGCAATAACAATTTAATTGTTTGTTTTTCGTTGATTGCATCCATAGGCGCCATTTCCATTATTATTAGCAGATTCCCCAATGCAAACACCGAAATGAGAGGGAAAAAATAAACGATAAATTAAATTAAAAGCTGTAGCGTGTGGCAAAGAGGTTTCATAGGCTTGAAATGGGAGATATACGAGTAGACATAATGAAATCCAATTTAACAGACAACGACTTTATTTTAATGCACAATTTCGGTGACAAAGAATCACCGGAATCGAACCGTTCGCGTTGCACACATCAAAATCATTTAACGCAAACACGTTTCATTCGATGGATTTACGATAATAATCTCCATTATACGAAATGAATGGAATTTATAAAATTTCCACATTCATTAAGATTTCTTTAATGAGCGCACGTTTGCCGTGTGGAAAATGGATTTCATGTCGTTATGAAAATTTATTTATCGCTGAGGAAAATTATATGCGAAACACAGCATCATTACACTGAAATTGTTGTGTAAACGAAGAATGTCAAAGACATCATCGCAAGAGAGTTTATTTTTAAAACAAAATGTGCATCCAGCGAAGGCGTTAATTATGCCAACATAATATGCTGTCGCCATCATGACTTCAGAACAATATTTGAAATCAATCACTAAAGCATGACGAAGATCCGGCAGTGAAGTGTATTGATTTCCCCACAGTGTTGAAGCTTTTTCGGGTCGTCGACTGTTGCTGAAGTTATTTATACATATTTGATGAGGGTCATCATTTGGGACAGTTTCATTCACTTCCGCTGGAAAAAAGGGTTGAGCTTCCGTTGAAATGATCCCCTAATTACATTGTGTAATTTGGTTTATGTAAACAAAAAAAATGCGTTGCATATTGGATTGGCGAACGTGAAACTCTTTCGATTTCGTAGAAAATCAAGCGAATTAATCTCATATGAATTGCATAAATTACGAAATGTAACAACAACCAAGAATGGATACATGAAAATGTATTGCTAAATAAAATGAATAGGAAAAGTGAATTACCTTTGCGAACCGAAATCATCATCCTTCACCTTTTTGCTGTGGAGCAGCGCAAATACAAACAAGCCCAGCGCAAGTGCACACACACACAGAGAAGTCAAATCCGAATATTATGATGCAAATGAATAAATGAAAATATGCAAATTAAATAAATTTTAAATGAGATGTAGCACGAGTTTATGTAGATATCTGAAATGGCATGGGAATTGCACAGAGAAAAAAAAAACCGAAGAGAATCAGTCAAGATGATGTGAATTACAGATGATGGCAGCCCGAAGGTAAAATGTTGTATGTCCATAAATACATAGCTTTTGCATTTAGTTTCATTTTCGAGATGCGATGCCAGCCAAATGTAATTTCTATACATCGTGTGCATCATCTTGTTGCAAGTATTTTCCATTTGCAAAGCATCTCACATCAAGTCATATTGTGTACGTCTTTTTGTGTATTTTTTATTTCACAAGTGGCTACTTTTGCACCGAAGCATTGAGTAAAAATTGGTTGTGTACAATGTTAAATCGAATACGCTTCTGCTTTCATTTGATTCTTCAGATGTTGCACATTCTTTCTACATATTGCTTGTGCAACTCAACCTCTGCGTTATTCGAATATGAATAAAATGAGTTTTTTTGTGTTGTTATCGTTGTTGGTGATCGAAACGGATGCACACAGAAAAGAATCCCCGGGAATTTTAGGTGTTTGCCGTAAAATTTGACATTTATATATAAATTTCTATATACATTTTACCGGCAACACTTCAATTTTCCGGGCGATGACATATTTTCGAACATTTCATCAAATACTATATATATTTTACCGCTTGAAATGACAGATGTCGCTAATTTCTGTTGGAATATTTGAAATTATGTCATCGCCCGGAAAATTCAAGTGTTGCCGGTAAAATGTATATAGAAATTTATATATAAATGTCAAATTTTACGGTGAACATCCAAAATTTCCGGGGATTCTTTTCTGTGTGTGGAAGCACGTTGAATGCACCTTTTGAATAAAAATTCAAACAGCTTTCCAAGCTCTACCAAGTGAGTGATTCGAAAATAGAGAAATTCACCGTCAAAGAGAATCCTGTACGCATTCCGATTTTTATTTACTCAATGCTTCTTATATTGCCCGTTTTGTTCATATTTTTCTGTTTTATTTCATTGCCAATATCAATTGCTTGAGTTGTGTGCACAGTAGGGTGTTTTCGGCATCGTTCAATCGAAAAATGGTTACTCTCATTCGATAGATCTCAGAATTCTGAGTCGATTGATAACATTTTTGGTCGCGGATGTACTTGTGGTGACACTTCCCGAAACAAAAAACAAAAAATGTTTTATTCTGAATTTCTATAGTAACGTGTGACAACTAGATTCAATTTTATGTTTTCTTGTCAAATTTTTGCTTTCAAATTCCAAATCAAATCTTGTTGTCACAGGTTACTATGGAAATTCAGAATAAAACTGTTTTTGTTTTCAGCTTCTGGAAGTGTCATCACAAGTCCATCCGCGACAAAAATATTATCAATCGACTCAGAATTCTGAGATCTATCGAATGATGCATACCATTTTACTTTTCCGCAAACTTTGTTTGTTGGGAAAAGTATTTTGATAAAACGATGCCGAAAACACCCTAGCTGCACAGCGGGCGATGTACGTTGTGAATAACTGTGTCAACATTATGTATTTGTGCATTACTGGATTATGTAAAATAAGGAATTTATAGACGTAAACATGAAATATCATTTTTTTTCTTGCATTGTTATGCAAATAGAATATTCAATAGATGATTTGATGTCGGAATACGTTGGATTGAGAGTGGATTTTGAAGGATGAGCGCATTAAAATCACATTTTTTACACCGAATCGCATCGTCATTTACGACGAATACAACAGATGTAAATTGGAATAACATGCAATGTTGTATTTTGTTATGTATGTAGGCTGTGTGCGAGTAGCAAGTGTGGTGTGTGACGTACAACATATCAAGAAGGATTAATCATTTAAAGTGTGACACGAGCTTTATATATGTGTATAAAATATAATGTAAAAAAGTAGCAGTGTTTTGGTCGCGTAATCCATGGTGTCGAAACTTGAGATGTGTGTTGGACGAGAAATGTCTTGACAACTTTAACACACACATACACACAGAATCTGCCATCATTTCCTACTCGGAAATGCGAATTTATGTGCGAAATGGAATGTACAAAATTAATTTATACCCAATGTTAACGATAACAAACGAACACCCAATGACATGCACAGAAAACATGTGCAAAATATGGTGGCGAATTGTGAACTCATTCAAGGGAAAAATAAATATAGTTCAGAACGTAAGATAGAGCGAGTACAGATAGAGTGAACGAGCGAGTCGACGAGAGATGTTTTGCTAATACCAGAGATGGAGTAAATGTATATCAATTCATTGTATTGTCTATACTGCGTACAGACCGGTATATATAAATTGATATAACTTTGCGTTAAATAACGCGTTTGCTGTCACTAAAGTATTAGCTTACGCGTTCTGACGCGTGCTCTCAACGCAAAGGTATATGTTTAAGTATATACCGATACACATTTCCATACAACGGTAAACGATGAACCATCTCTGGGCTAATACTATTTGCACACAGTTGGAACACACAAATTTGCGTTGAATACATTTGTACAATTGAGCGTAGAGACTTAATGAGTAAGTAAAATTCGTCGAATGAGACATGTGCACAGACATTCGCACACACTTTGTGTGGCGATAAGTTTTGCGGCGATCGTTAGAATACGCGTTTCTCTATGTTTCGCCTCTTCTCGTCCTCCCTCGTTCTTTCTCCCGGTCTCTCGCTCATTTTTATTTGCATTGTAATGATAGTCATTGTTGAGTGCTATTTTCGAGAACTCAGACGTTGATAATGCAATTTACACAGGATAATGGCAGTGATTTACATTACACTTGATGACAGCACTGGTAGACACGGGCCTTTCTTTTGCTTGTCTACAAATTACACAAACATTTTTATGATGTGATAAACACACAATGGGAAGCATTTTATTTTTTCTTTCGTTTCTTTGCCCTTTATCTGCGCTTAATGGATTCAAGGACGAGGAACGAGTCGAAACGAAATGAAACAAAATACATTTAATCCGAAAATAGATTGAAATGCTCCCACGTACACATGCACAAATACATGAAAGAAGTGTGATGAAGATGGTTTAAATGTTCATTGCTCAAACCTCGTCGCATGCATTATGAAAAATGGCTAATTTTCATCGTATTGATTTATGAAGCTAATGCCATCATTAAATTACATCACATTTTACGTCGAACGGAAGGGATGAAAATGATTGAACTCAAAAAATGCCGATGCTCGCCGTCAGTGGGATGAAAATATTCATTTTTAATAACTTATTAATAATAAGTACCATTTTCAGTGCAATCGATGATGATGGATTGCATGGCTGGATTGGCGTACAGCGATTTGTATTTTCGAAAGCAAACGCCACGCAATTTACAATAATAACAAATATTCATCATGTTTACCCAGCCCGCGCATAAAACACACGCACGAATTTCGTCTACTCGGTTGCACAGACAAATCAGTTGCGAGAGTCAAGCATCTTGAAAGGCATATTTCTGACACCGCAATAAAAAATGTAGCATCTGAGTTGTTATCATTTTATCACCATTAAATGTTTAGCATTCATGAATTGGTAGACAAGTCGGCTCTTTGCTTCGCAAAACCACATGCACACACACTTTGTAATGACATTCACTAGCAAAAACCGTCCTTCAAAGCACCAGCGGAAACAGTGCTTCAAAGTGATTTCGATCGAATTGTCAACGCTTGTAGTACTCGAGCCAGCAACAAGACTGTGATGTGTCCAAGCGATTTGGAGGCATGACATTTAGCGAAATCGAGAGAGAGGGAGCGCATAGATTCATCATGAAAACAATAATAATAAATTTCATGAACAGAGAAGAGAATAAATCTTTTGCTGTGTGCATTTCGTTCGGTGCGCCGATGTGATTTATGGAGCGAATTGAGTATGTGTAAAACATAAATCAAGCAGATATGCGCGTTGAATGAGTTGTTTATTTTCTGACGGTTTCATTTTGCTCTTCCTTACTCTGTCTCTCTCCTTCCATTACACAATTTAGATGATGGTGAATGTAAAACTAACCAGGAAAAAAGATTCCATTCGAATTGGGAAAGAGAGGGAGAACGAACGAATAAATGACAAATACACCACAAAACCTTTTGCGCTAAGTTCCGCTAAAAATGCGGATCGATCAATCACTGTCGACACAGACGTACGGCAGATATACTTTTTTTATTGTCTTCTATAGCCACCCCCCCCCCCAAAATGTCAAAAGGTAAAGTTCTTTTTTTTGCTCGGTTTGTTTGCAGTTTGTATTTTCAAATGGACGTTTTTATGCAAAGTGATGACTATTTGAATGCTGATGTTGCTATGTAACCGAACGATGTTGGAAGTTGTAAGACATTTGAATTGACATACACTTTTGAGATTGGTAGAGAGAGAGAGAGAGAGAGAGAGAGAAAGAGGAATAGAAACGGGAAATCTTACCTTAAATCCGGAGCCGATGCCTTTGTTATCTCATCGTGATCATTTGATTTCAGCATTTCGAATCGCCTGCGATGCTTTTGTCACACACACAAACATACACGAGAAGGACAGAGAGAGAAGAAAAAACGAGCACCGCAATCACATTTATATCACACTGTGATTTGTTCAACTAACACCGACCAATAAATGGATGGATGCGTTGACATTCGTCGGGATTTAGTTCAATAGAACAACCAATTTGCATGCGATTTGAATTGCAAATCTGAAATTCATTTGGTAGACAATTTTACGGCTGAGACGAAGAGCAGAAATTACGTAAAACTATTTGCCATGAGACATTGTCGCCCAATGTCTTCGTCTCTCGTCTCGTTCGTCGTCGTCGACACTTTGCAATTCAATTGGATGATGCCGTTGCTAATTCAATTTTTGTTGATTTTGCTCAGCTCAACTGAAAATTATTCATAATCCTGTGTGGTGGTAATTGGTGACAGACACGAATATCTACTGCACTTGAAGAATGCCACAAATTCCATTTTTCGTTCGCATCACGAACTCTACTTTCACTTAGTTTGTTGACTCGTTAATTGGAATTTATTATGTGGCCGACCGAGTGCGCGTTTCGAATCTCTGAAAACAAAGTAAAAAAGAAGAACGAAAATAAAGCATTTGTTTGCATTACATTGCCAGTAAATTAATTTTTGTTTAGATTTATTTTTCGGCTAAGCCGAAAAAATCAATGATTTGTTTAATGAAGAAGAATTAAGCCCGAAAAAAATCAGTCAGTTTTTTCTAACACAAACACAAACACACACACACATACACACACACACACACACACACACACAAGAATGAAACAATCAAGGGAGAATCCATGCGCTGATTTCATTTTTAGAAGCTTTTTTAGGCACAATTAAATGACACTTGAGAAAGCATTAGGCCATTCGAGCATGAAGCGTATCCGTAGTGAACACAACGCTTCGGGCAAAAACATTCTTTTCCACGTCGTCGTCAGTGGTGATGGGCTGACCTTCGATTTCGGTTGGAGTTTATTTGTGTGCTGTGCATATTCGAGTGGACTCCATTAGCACACTACACAGCGCGCGCGTAAAGTGATATCATTAAAATACAATTTTACACGGTAATGCGAAGCAAAACAATAGCAGTGTGAACATTAGAGCATTCATCATAGGCCGAACGCATATCCAAATGAGCATCAAAAAGCATTTATGGATAACCCATATCGGCTCACCATTAATGGGTGCTGCGAACCACCAAAATATTACATACATTTATTATTAATCACCGTAATGCGCCGCCCGTCCATATCCTTTAATAAACGTTCTATTTTATTTATGCGCACACGATTTTATCGCATGAACATTGAACGTTGGAAAGCATCCAGCCTGGAAATGTATTGCCGATTATTTGTGTGGTTAAGTGTATATATAAAACATGAGCTTGAAGCATGGAAAAACACTGTTGAATCAATGGAATGGCATCATAAGAATGTAATGGAGCAAAATAAACGAATGACAACCACAAAAACCAATAGACGCTGGCTTGCAACGGGGAAAAATTAAATTGACGAGCTGAATAGCATGCAGCCGGATGATATTGATGCTGCTGCTGTTGCTGCTGCTCTCCGTGGTGCTTGTCTGTGGTTTGTGGAAGGAAACAGACTTTTTCAAGCCAAAATAAAAAAAAATCTCGCAAAAAATATTCAATAGGTAATTTCGATCGAAATGGAATCCAATATTTATGCGATGTTGGCATACTTTTCACAACATAAACAAATCTGAGCGCACCGGAATTGAGACGAAGAGCCGAACTTGTATCCCCCATTTCGTGTGTAGAAGCGTAAGTAAATATTCGCCTCATGTGGTTTTCATGTGTGTGTGCTATTGGATGTTGATGTTGTTGCTGTTGTTGTCGACATGTCTGTAGGCAAATCAGCTACGTGCAGTGCTGTTTTTAGCATTGAATTTCCATGTTATCCAAAAATGTGTACGATAAAAGCCACAAAAACACCAACCGATCCTAGTCTGACCCACATTTTGTGTCATATGTACATCAAACGCAGAAAACCAAAAAAAAGTTCCTCTCTGTGTGTACGATCTCAATTCTTTTCCCCCTCTTTCGCTCTCTCCGTGTGTGCCTTCTTCCAATTTTCCAAAAAATAAATAAACGGAGAGAAAACACACTTACAGTAAAAATGGGATGACATAATTTGCATGGATAACCATTTCGACGAGGATGAAGTTCGCTCTTCGCATATAAACATATATGTATATAATATTGAACAGTGTTTCTATTCAAGTCATTCGTTTTTCTTTCGATTTTTTGCAAATCTCAGTTAAAATTTATTGCTTCCTTTTGCATTGCGTTTGAAAATAGGGTTTTCTTCTATAAATTTCAATCATAAAGGATTTTATTATTTTGTTGTTCTTTTTGTTTTTCACTCGTTGTTCGCTCCGTTTGATGAGAGTGTGGTGAGAGAAAGATGCTGGTCTTTTTTGGCGCTTGTACATTTCCACTTGGCAGCAAAATGCCTAAAACACACCATATCATTGCAATACAATAATTACGGTGATATGCTTCAATAAATAACAAAATTGCTGCTGAATATATGAAAAGACGTTGGTTTGCGCATAAACCAACGCATACGCACATGAGAATAGCTTTAATCACGTAGTAACATGTACTAGTACATGACGTTTATTAAGCTCATTCGGCTACATAATTTCATGCGCTACCATTATATGAAATATTAAAGTAATTGAATTTATATGCGTTGAAACACATAAAGACGCCAACAATAAGCCGTTTGAATATAATTCACATTCTATTTCTTTCCCTCTTTCCTTCACTCGCCTTGAACTACCTGCTATTTTCCGCACCGCTTGAAATGTCAATCAATTGATCCAAATCGCTCCCGACAATGTTTATTCAAAAGTCATTCATGAAAATGGCTCATTTGAAATGAACGTTTCATCTCGGTTTCCGACGATGAGACTGGGATATTCTTCTTATGAAGACGAATTATTTAGTCAGAATAATGAAAATGAACACAAAGAATGCAAACACAACAACAAAAATTGGATACAAATTTGCGATCTGTTTTCGAAAAACAGGACTTCACATTTCTAAGCCCACAGATACAAATTGAATATTGCTTTTGGTTGTTGGTTCATCGAAGTTTTTTTTTCTTCAGATGTTTTCTCATGGGAAGGCAAAAAATGGGCACGAGAGAAATATTGTGAAAGGAAAATGAGTCATTGAATTTATTAAATTATTTATTTTACAATAAAGTGCAATTCATTCAATGAGGGTGCATCGCTTGTGTCTCTTCGTTATTTTGCCAAGGAACTTACATACAGAAAAAGAAAATAAAATCTACAATTGAAATCGCCCTACCCGAAGTCATTTCGGCAAATTTTCCAAGATTTGAATATTCATCTAAAAAGAAAATTATAACTTTGGTTTTGTGAAGCAACGAAGAAGAAAAATGACGTCTTGAAAAGTTTTATTATAACCGAACGCGAAGTTCCTCTCAAATAAACCGAAATCAGGCTCATTAAGTCGTCTATACCACATCGTTCGAATCTCTTTCTCGCTCGCTCTCTCTCTCACTCTCTCTCTCTCACTTTCTATCTTCGTCTCTGTCACGCAATTGAAATTCATTAGGCTGCATTTTAACGATTGTTCATCCAAACGATTCCACACCAAATGTAATTGCATCCCACGAACTTTGTTCTCGACGTATGGTAACAATTCCAAAAATTCTTTTGTCAGTTTATTGAATTCCATTTATTATTTGCACGTGCTGTTTTAACTTTGGCGACGGAGCATGGATTGATAGATGGATAGAGAGAAAGAGAGAGAAAGAATGGGAATGAGAGAGAAAGAAAACGTAGGTACCATTTTTTTTTCTTTGGCAATTAAGCAACAGAGATCCTATCGTTCAATTTAACTTGAATTTCGACTGCGGCAAACGCTTCAAGGGTTTCTCTGCACAATAAAAAGAGCAAAATGCAAATATCAGTTCGTGATTTTCTTTTTCTCCGGTTTGGGTTAAAGTATCTCACATTTTCACGCTTTGAAAACTTCCAACATAAGTGGAAATGATGCTGATTACTGTTGAAATATTGGGAAATTAAATTAATTTTGCTAATTTTAGATCACAATGATGCGATGTGAATGGAACCGAATTATGGTGATACGCATGAAATTCGCCTGTCGATTTCAATTTCAGTGGAAAAATCACGACAAACTCGTGCCACATCCATTCATCCGTCGATTCTGGGTCACATTTTGATGAAGTGCGAGCGTTTGTGGTGTGTTTAATTTGAAAACTGTCAGAAAGTATTTGGTTGATACAAATTAGTGGGCTTTAGCTACTTTCAAGCACTTCGACTCGGTTGCTAGATGGATGTAATATGCTGTCAACGATAATTTTTCGATTGATTCTGATCTGTGCATACGGTGGTTTGCATCATTTCGTCGTGGTTTTTCACCCAGCATTCCATCGAACATGGTTTCAGTCTAATGAATGCAGTGCCAGTTTTTTTTTCGGTTCGTTTCAAAAGTGGAAAATGTTATGAATATTTGCGAAAGGATTCGACCCAGAATGTTCACATTAATTCCCATCTTGCAAGCACAAAATCTTTGCATAGTATATGTTTCGACCGTGTATAGTTTGAATTCCAATAAAATTTATGGTATCAGGAATCCATTTAATTATGCGCTAAATTATAATACAAAGTAGCAAATATCACTTTTTTGGGTAAATGTTAACATGGTTTCGAGTATTTTATTTCAAGGTGCTTTGTATGTAAATCCCTTTTATATTATGATACTTTGAAGACGACGGCAAAATCTATTAGCTCTGTTGCATCACTGAATAGCCATTTTAAGCGAGTAGTAATCGTCGGATCGTTATCATCGTTTTTCGTTGCAAAGTAACATCGTGTATTGAATAGCGTACCGTGTAACGGATGATCTTATTTGGAATAGGTTCTGCCAAGCTTTCGCAGCTCGTGAAGAAGGTTACAAGTCAAAGTCTATAACAAGAAGAGATTATCTGGTGTTGTTGCCATCTGAGTTTTACATTTTCATGTTCGACTGCTGCTTAAACAATTGTGAATGGGTTGACGACACGCTTGCTCTCCGGATGACCTTTAGCATATGAAACGATACCGTTCGCATTACCTTCAGTTCATGCTTTTCTACATTACGTCTAGCCCATTTCTAATACTAAAAACGGTTTTACGCATCATCACTTCACAAGCATATTGTATGCGTCCATGTGTTTTGCAAATTTTTTTCCACAGCGATACAAGTATGAAAGAGTTTTAAATCCCACAGCGACCTCAGTTATATGCTGCATCATGATATAAAACATGACTCACGCTAACTGTTCCCTTTTCGCCAATGTGTTTTCTTCCATTATTATGATGTGGAGTATGTGGATGAGCCGAAATTATCTTCAAGCGATTCTTCTTTTTATTCGCATCCACACAATGCTAACCAGAGTGTATGTATCATTGTGTTATTATCGTTTGTTCTCAAAGAATGAGATAATAAAAATGTCACGCTGGAGACTGAAAAGAATCATACAGATGGAAATG